GAACATTGCTAAATCGACATAGAATTTTATGCTGACCAAAAATATATATTGTTTGTGGGGTCCAGAATTTATGTTTCGAAATGTTACAAATAGAATGACAAACATAATATACCCTCCATACTAAGGGTATTGTATAAAAACTAAAATTGATACAAGAGCTGTTGGCGAAGTTATTCCCGTTTAAAAAATGTCAGTAATCGTTCACAAAATTAGTTTCAACCTCCATATTTTCTGTAATTATACCCTACACCACATAGTGGTAAGAGTATTATGTCTTTGTGCATTTGTTTGTAACATGGAGAAGGAAACGAGATAGACCCAAGTTACTATTGAGGATGTCCACAGAATCACATTCTGAGTTAATTTATGCATGTCAGTCCGTCTGTCCCTCCGTCCGTCTGTCCATGTATTCTTGTGAACAAAATGCAGGTCGCATTTTTTATCCGATTGAGATGAAATTTTCCAAACAACATTTGTTTGGCCCAAGGACGAACCCTATTGAAATTGGAGATAACCGGTAAAAATTTAGATATAGCTCCCATATATATCTTCGTCCGATTTGCCTTTTATTGTGCACCAAAAATGTAATATCAGTCGGAATAGTATGAAATTTTGCACATACAACCAATTTAGGCCTGCAAATAAGTACGCCAAATTTGATCGAAATCGCTTCAGATATAGCTATAGCTCCCATATATATTGTTCATCCGTAATATGCACTCTGTAACAACAATATTTGGGGAAATATATCAAATGCAACTCAGAAATACCTTTGCTAAATATCATCGAGATCGGTTCAGATTTGGATATAGCTCCCATATATATCTTTATCTGATTTCAAATTGATTTTGCACCAAATGGGCAATACAAGTCCGAATTTAAAAGATACAAATGCTTCGGCATATTTAGTCCTTTGAACTTTAAATTATAATTATAATCATAGCGTGTATGATTTAATTCTCCCATAAAAACTTAAATTTGTTATGTGGAGCTCTACTAAATTAGCAAAGTGGTGTAGGGTATCATAACTGACTTTAGGACTTTCTTTACTGGGTTTAAGATTTCAGCCAGAATTTCCAACCAAATCTGCTATAGTTTGACATTTAGATTTTGTGGAAAAAGAGTTTTTCATGACATTAAATTCAGATGTCATAAATTGGGCCACACTGAATTGACAAAAGAATTGTCAGGTTCTTAGTGACAGAAAATTGTTTCAAGAAAAAACGTCCGGTTTTAAAATGTGATCCAATGCCTTGCCATTACTTGCTTTTAATTAGGAAGAAGGAATAGTGGAAGGAATAGAGATATCTTCAAACTTCCTTTAATTTTTTTGATATATTATGACCGACTCTAATCATCTCTAAAATTATAGGGTGACCTTAACCCGACCCCATGTAAAATTTAGCGGAGAATCGGTATTAAATTTGATAAAAAAAAATATCAAGTTAAATCCAGATAAAAAGTTCGGTCCAGCCCTCCACTAATTCAAAAGTAACACCTACAAGTGCCGAAATTCCAGTATTTGAGGAATAGACATTATTTCTGTCACTAAGAGCATACAATCCAAATTTCAAACAGTTATATTGAAGACTGTGCTAGAATCATCTAAATGCCGAAAATTATAAAAATATAGGCAATATTCTAATCTAATCAAAATATAAATACCGAACATTGAGCAATTTTATTAGAAAATGTTCATGAGTTTATCAAAATACCGAATGTCGGTGCTTGCTATATGGGGAAAATAGAAATACGTGAACCTTTATGGACAATGATCTTCGAGAGAAGGATTTAATATGATGGGTATTAAACTCACCCATGTTTTTTTTTTAAAAAAAAAATAAAGATTTGGCGGTTGGCAATGTTAATCATTTAATTTGTTCCAAGTAGATTTGTTTACATCAATTTTTGAATATGATATCTCTCAAATGGCCGCCTCTGGCGTTGATGACGTATTGTGCCCTTTTTGCTTCATTTTCCATCGTTTTTGCCAACATTTCGGTCGGAATAGCGGCTATTTCTTCACGAATGTTGTCCTTGAGCTCTTCTACGGTCCTTGGTTTGTTAACGTAAACCTTTGACTTCAAATATCCCCACAAGAAGAAGTCAGGCGGCGTCAAATCGGGCGAACGCGGTGGACAGTCCAAATCACCACTTTTCGACATCAAACGGCCCGGAAACAAATTCTTCAGAAAATCGATTGTTATGCGACTTGTGTGCGGTGGAGCGCCGTCATGTTGAAACCAGAGCTGCTCATACGCTTTCGACGAATAATTAGCATCACAAAATTGGTCATCATGTCGCGATAACGCTCCTGATTGATGGTAACAGCATGGCCATTTTCATTTTGGAAGAAAACGGCCCAATGACCGTTTTCGCACTAACGCCGCACCAAACTGTGACTTTTTCGTCATGAAGAGGCACGTACGGCAGCGATATTCTCGGCCGATCGCCTTGGTCGACTTTTATATGGCCTTTTCGGATTAGAAAGGGCCTTATCAGTCGAAATTTTTTCGTATAAGCGCTTAATGGTGTTCTTAGAAGGCGCACTTCTCACCTTTTTTAATGTTTTAAAAGCACGTTAAGTTTTCACAATTGACTTATTCTCTTGAATGTAAATTTCAACTATTTCAGAACGCTCGCTTGGCGTGAATTGATTCATGGTAAAAATCTGCTTGGACTGACGCTTCAAACGCAGTATGTCATTAAGCGATGTGACATTTCTGTCAAAAGTTATGGCGTTACCAGATGGGTCCGTCGATTATGGGCAACCCTGAAAATACCGAATTTTAAACAATACTATCAGGAAATGTGGCTAAAATTCGTGAAATATTTGTTGGGTATAAAATAAATATTGCGTTGAGTTATAAACGGAATGGAAAACTTAATATACCCTCCATAGTATGGTCGAAGGTATAACAAGTAAAAATACATTAAGATCGATAGGAGAATGGTTAGAGCGGTTATATGGGGGCCATAATATAGCGGGAGCCTATATAGCCAATTTTATACTACAACGATTGTAATCTACTGCGGATCTTATATACCAAATTTTACATAATTGCAATTTAGGTAAATATGACTAAGATGACTAGGACCAATATGGACATTGTTTTGACGCCGTTTGTAGAACCCATTATTAAGTACAAATACCAAATTTCACACAAATCTATTAGACAATTTGGCTAAAGTCGACAAAATGCCGAATATCCATTATATGTGTACTATAAAATCTAGAAATTTAATGTGGATCTAGATATTCAATGTTCTGCCACCGGAGCTAGAACCTATTACGAGCTACAAATACCAATTTCTAGACAAATCCGTAGAAAAATGTAAGTAAAACCAACAAAATACCGATTATGGGGAGGTACCGTTATATGGGTGATATACGAAAACGTGATCATATATTTACAATGTTCCGCCACCGGAGCTAGAACCCATAACGAACTACAAATACCAATTTTTAGATAAATCCGTGGAAATTTGTGGCTAAATCTATCAAAATACCGAATATAGGTAGTACCAGACACAAAGCAAACAACGGTGCGGGTTTAAAGCTCTGCGTCAAATAATGTGAGCTGTATCGTGATTTCAACAGACAGAAAGATGGACATCGTTGAATCGACTTAGGATTTTATGCTGATCATGAATATATATACCTTATGGGGTCTATGACGAATATTTAAAGGTGTAACAAACAGAATGACAAACTTAATTACCCTTCTTTCCAAGGTGGAGGGTATACAAATTTGGACTCTATCTGAATTTCAACAAACATACAAAGGAAAACCAGTAAAGAAAGTCCTAAAGTCGGGCGGGGTCGATTTTATGATACCCTACACCACTTTGCTAATTTAGTTAAGGTCCACATAACAATTAAAAGTTTTTATGGGAGAATTCAATCATACACCCTGTGATTGTAATTATAATTTAAAATTCAAAGGACTAAATATGCCAAAGCATTTGCATCTTTTAAATTCGGACTTGTATTGCCCATTTGATATATATGGGAGCTGTATCCAAATCCGAACCGATCTCGATAAAATTTGACAAAGATATTTCCGAGCTGTATTTGATATATTTCCCTGAATATCGTTGTTACGGAGTGCATATTACTGCTGTGGGTAACAAATACAACAAATCGGATGAACAATATATATGGGAGCTATAGCTATATCTGAAGCGATCTTCACCAAATTTGGCATACTACTTTCTAGACTCAATTCGGTCGTATATGCCAAATTCCACCCCTTTTGGGCAAATATTAGACGTTTGGTGCACAATAAAAGGTAAATCGGACGAAATTATATATGGGAGCTATATCAAAATCTGAACCGATCTCGATGATATTTAGCAAAGGTATTTCTGAGCATTTGATATATTTCCCCAAATATTCTTGTTACAGAGTGCATATTACGACTGCGGAGGACAAAAATAACAAATCGGATGAACAATATATATGGGCTATATCTGAACCGATTTCGATTAAATTTGGCATACTTATTTTCAGACCTAATGTGGTTGTATGTGCAAAATGCCATACTATTCGGGCTGATATTATATGTTTGGTGCACAATAAAAAGCAAATCGGGCGAAGATATATATGGGAGCTATATCTAAATTTTTACCGATTATCTCCAATTTCAATAGGGTTCGTCCTTGGGCCAAACAAATGATGTTTGGAAAATTTCATCTCAATCGGATAATAAATGCGACCTGCATTTTGATCACAAGAACAAGACGGACTGACATGCATAAATCAACTCAGAAAGTGATTCTATGCAGATCATCAGAAGAAGGAACTGCGGGTCTATCACATTTCCTTTTGCCTGTTACAAACAAATGCACAAAGACATAATACCCTGACCACCTTGTGGTGTAGGGTATAATTAGACAGATTGATGGAGTATCATAAAATCGATTTCTTCACTTCAAATAGAATGACATATTTAAGGTTCCCGCATCCTACGACTAGAGATACAAAAACTAGCTTTAAATAATTTGCATTAATATTAAAATGTTTATTCATTAAAAATGTTTACAAAATACCTTAAAACTATATAATATCCAATGACTAAACTAAGTGATCGCTTGTACCTATAAAACTAATGCCCGAGTCAAAAATACGAAAGTTGAATTACTTCTTCTTAATTTTTATCAATTCAGCCACTTGCAATGGTTGGAGACGTATGTCGATGCCATTGCCCACTTGATATTCGCTGGAATCTGAACATGGTTGGCAACCACAAGCCGAGGGTATTTCCAATTGTTTCGAGATCTTGGTGCCATCTTCACAGGTTAGCTCCACCGTAATTGATTTGTACGATTTAATGTTACAGCAGTGGCAAATCTTGTCTTGGAGAAGGGTTTCTGTCAAGGGAGGAGAAGTAGGGGTTAATAATTAAATTCTTTGGTGAAGGGGAGAAATTCCTTACCTCTGTTATATTTAGATCCAGAGTTACAGGAACCCATGCATTCGGTAAAACCTTGTATGGGTTTCTCATTAATGCAAATACCATGGCCCATGGCATTGACCTTGACCAAGTTACGGGTCTCAGACTCAGCCAGGGAAACTGGCAGACAATTACCTATAACAATTTCGGGATATTAAGTCAATAAATCTTTTTCAAATTCCTGTCAAAACTTACTCATATTCTCCGGTATCGGCTCTTCCTTGCAAATCTTGCAACAGCTGTCCTTTTGATCCTCCAACAAATGTGCCGGACAGTTGCTTACATCTGGACATGTTTCCCGCACCGAGCTCACAATTAGACTCTCACCCTTCTCAATGCAGGCAAAAGTGGTGCAATTGTCATCGGATTTCCATTCCTGTTTGGGCTCGTACAACTGGCCATCCAACACACATTGCGTTTGGACACATTCACCGCAGCATTTGTTCAAATCTTTGCGTTTGTACTCGAAGCCAGGACCACACTTAGTGTCACACTTGACTTGGGTGGTGAGTAACTTGGCGGTGTCATGTGGACCATAGGTACACTGCAGAATATTGCAGGGATCCTTGGGATCTGTCCACATGTCGGCAATTTTCTTGGTATATTTCTGGTTGGGTCCAGCCTCAACAATGCACTCATCCTTCGGTGGGGCACAATAGTAGATGGGACAGCAATCTCCGGGTTCCTGTTTTGTAAACACTTCGTAGAATTCTTCCACACAGAATTCAGGTTTCTTGGGACACTTGGAGGTGTCGCAGACAATCTTCTGGGTAGGACAACAGCCGGCTTCTTCCTTGACCAGTTTTTCACCAGGTTTGAGGGCTTCAGGTTCCGTTAGAGGTTCACATTCTTCCTTGGGTTTGCATTCTAAAGAAAAAACAAATAAAAATTTAAACAATGTTCGGAAACTCTCCCCAGTGAACACCTACCACAAATGTACTGAGGACAACCATCAGGTCCAGTCTTAATCTTCTTGAATTGCCCAGGACCACAAATGGGCATTAGCGGTGCCAAACAGTCTTCACGAGGCGGTTGCTTCGGTTCTTGGACACATGTAAAGCGTGGACAACATTGATCCTCCGAATCGGCAATCTTTTGTTGTACAAATCCTTCGGCACAAATATTCTCCTCTACCAAACACTTGCGTTCCATACACTGGGTCTTACCCTTCTTGTCACACAAACATTCGGTACATTTGTCCTTTTGCCATCTCTCGCCAGGCATGTGGTCGGGATCTTCACATTTGACACACATCTCCTCACTTATACACTTGCCATTTTCCATCACCTTGTGTGGTGGACAGAAGCAACCCTCATAACGTTCATTTGGAGAACACAACTCCTCGGGATCCATTGTATTGACCATGGTATTGGTGTTGATATTGACAGCTTGGAATTCATCAAGACGTTCTAGACTATCACAAGTCTTGGTGCAGCCACAGGATTCGTAATGCATGTCGGCAGGGCAATCATAGGGACACAATGTGGGGCTACGCCAGTCCAGGCAGATACCTTGTTTGGCACACTCCTTGGCATAGGCAGCCAAGGATTCGCAGGAGCCCTTTTGATCATTACCCGGTTTACACAAATCCTGTTGACAGGTCGATATGTAGGGCAGTGGGTCGACAATCATGTTACATTTTCCAAAGATGTTCTCATCGAATAGCAACATGCAAGGATCCTTCTCCGGTGGCAATGGCAGACATTCCTCCTCAACATGGGTCTCACTCAAACACTCATCGGGTTCCAGGCCCAGCTTGGGTTCCTCTGCCTTCCATGAGTCGATAACATCCACCAATTCCTTGCCAATCTTTTTACCTCCCTTCTGCTTCTTCTTGGCAGGATTTGGTTGTAAATCATTGTTGGGATTGCCATCACAGTCGCCGCACAGACCTTCCATTTTGCTGCCATATTTAACACTTGGCACGCCAATGGAGAATATCAAATCATCGAATGCAGCCTTCAGTTCAACTTGGGCCTCAGTTAGACTGAGTACCAATTCCTTGCCGGGTATATCCTTGAGATTAATCCAGGTGTCCTTGTAAGGCAGTTTCTTGACCATAAATCCGTCGACAATCACTTGCAGGCTCTTTGGCTTCTTGGGGTCGCGTTGAATATGTATGAGATGGTCACCGTTAAGGATGTGCAAGGATTTAGCACAGCTCGAGTGTTCCGGAGCATTCAGTTTGCCCAATTTACGGCAGTCATCCATGGTTACATAGACCTGAAGGGAGATTTATAGGAAGTTGAATTTGGGATTATGAAAGTGAATATGAAAGTAAATATCACGTTCAATTACCTGGAATGTATGGACACCGGGCAGGACAATATCTCGGGACAACAAATAAGTACAATTGCCATTGAAATTGAAATCTTTGCGATCATAGGTGAAATACTTCTTCGAGCCAATTGTATCGCAGACACAATCCTTGCACTCAGAGATGGGTACACAGGTCTCGCCCTTGCGCACCGTACCCTCTGGGCAGTAACAGCCGGCGAAACAGACATCGGATATGACAGGGCAGTCATCCGAGTTCAAAGTATCACAAGATGGTTCACAACGTCTCTTATAGCAATCCGAGTGGACAAATGGAGCGGGACAGGCAATTTCTGTGTTAAAAAATAGAGGAAAATAAAATATAAAATCTTTAGATATATTTTACCCGCCTCTGTTACTTACCGCATTGATGTTTAGCTCTCCAGGTATCCAATTTTACATTTGGATTGACAGCCAGACACTGTTTGACATAATCCTCCATTAGATTGCAGCGACATTTCTTCACATCGCCATTGTGGACACGCAGACATTCACATGTTGTCTCCACACACTTGCTGGCGAAAGGCTTGTAGCTTACGGACTTCTTGCAATTGATGAATTCATCAAACCTAAAAAACACACACAAAACAAGATTTACAAATCCGTTCCTACCTCCCTCCCATTCACCGCCCTAATACTCACTTAATGGAATTACACAATGTCAGTGCTTGTGTTCGCATCTTCAATGGACATGTCTGGGGATAACATTGATCCTTGGGTGTTTTGTTGTCAAACCAGCTGTCACCGAATTTCGCCGTATTTGTCATTAGCGTACCATCGGGTGTACGTTTATCATTGCTGGCATTGCCATCGTAGTAGCCACACAAACCATCGACGGTTTTGATGAATTTCGACGAGACGCCAATGCGAATATAACCAATATCATCGTAACGTACCCAGAAGCCACGTTCCGGAGAGACAACCATAACGGTATCACCAACTTGCGACACAACAAAGGAGGCCTTACAAATGGGTGAGTTGATCAGTTGAGCCACAGAGTAATCGAATCCGTTGAAATTCAAACGTTTACGTGGCATTACAATGAGGGTGGCACCACGTACCATGTCCTTAATCGTTATGGTTTTGCGGCATACCTTACGTGTGGCATCTGTGCATTCCAGGTGGACTAGAAGTAGAGGAAAAAGGGGGAAAAGGAATTTATTTAGCAACATTTCGGTTTGATTATGGGACTTGTATCAACATATGTTGTTCTAAAGGGTTTCTTTCCAATTAGAGCTGTTAAAGGACTTCGATCCATGGACTGCATATTAAAATTCGACTATATATAGAAGAGTTATACCCATAGAACACCTGTTAGAGGTCGGCTAATCATAAGCAAAAATATTAAGGCAATTCTATTAACTGAATACTTAATAAGGGTATTCCATAAAAAAAAACACTTTTTTAGCGTCATTTATTTAGGGAAGTGTTATGAGTCCTTTATCCATACCTGTTAAGGGTCATTCATAGAATACCGGATAAAGTCTGGGATCCATTGAAAGCTCGTTAAAGGCCTTCTGTTCATAGAACAGCAAAGGGTGTTCTATATATAAAAAGCCTTTCAAGGGTTTTTGGTCCTTTGAAGACTTGTTAAGGGCACTCACTCTCCGAAGACCTGTAAAGGGCTTTAATTTTATTCCAAGAATACCAGAACCTAGAATTTTATTCCTAGAATAGTAGGACCAACTGAAAAAGATATTCTATATGTAGAAGATCTTTCAAGGATCTTTGGCCAATTGAACCCTATTAGTGTCCTCTTATCAATAGAAGGGTTTTTGGTCCTTTGAAGACTTGTTAAGGGCACTCACTCTCCTAAGACCTGTAAAGGGCTTTAATTTTATTCCTAGAATACCATAACCTAGAATTTTATCCCTAGAATACCAGGACCAACTGAAAAGGGTATTCTATATATAGAAGATCTTTCAAGGATCCTTAGCCCATTGAAGACCTATTAGTGACCTTTTATCAATAGAAGGGCTATTGGGGTTTTGTATTTATGTAACACCTGTTAAGGGTGCTGTATCCATAAAACGCCTGTTAAGGGATTTCTCTATCTTCGAAGACCTGTAAAGTGCCTTTATTTCATAGAAGGATCTTCATTCCATTGAAGACCTGATGAGAGAGTTTTTCTCCTAGAATACCATTGAAGGATATTTTACTCATACAAGGTCTGACCTTCTATTCATCGATAGATCTTTTGAGGATCTGCAATCCATAGGGTTTTATATCCATACAAACGCTTTTAAAGGTTTTTAATCCACAAGAGTTCTGTGAAGGAACTTCAATCCGTAGAAGACATCTTCAGCGGCTAATATCTTTAGACGATCTAAGAGCCATATGATATCAATTAAGGACCATCTATCAATTGGAGACCTTTTAAGGGACTCCAATTCATAAATTTACCGATAGAGAACTGCAAATGCCACTTTAAGTTTCTCGACCTATAAAAGACCTTTTTCGGGTCTTTTTCATAGAACAACTGTAGGACCTTTTAGGATCCTTTTATTCATTAAATACCTCTTTAGGACCCTCAAACCATAGAAGACCAGTAAAGGCCCTCCAATCAAGAGAAGATCTGTTAAAAGATTATAATCAATAGAAGACCTGTTAAGGGTATTAATGTATAGACTATTTTAAGGTCCTTCTATCCATTTTTCTTTTATGGATAAAACGCAATTAACAGGCGTTTCATGGATTTAAGTCCCCAAAGCTTCTCCTATTGATGAAAGACCCCTAAAATGTCTTCAATGGACCAAAGACCCTTGAAAAATCCTCTTTACATAGAAGACCATTTACAGTTGGTATAAAAGAGTTCAGGGTCTTCTGTCCACGATTCTTCTATTAAGGATCTTCTCAAAAAATCGTACATCCAATATGCCAATTGTAGCCAAATTGTAGGAATTGTCTGGAATTCTATAAATGAAGTTCTTTGTGTTGTAATCGCTGTTGCAGAAAATTGTCTATGTAGGTCTAAGTTATTCTATAGCCCACTTTATGGTATTTTGAAGGCTTTAACCCTTTATAACAGCCGCAAATGGTCTTCTATATAAAGAAGACTTTTCAAGGGTCTTTGGCCCATTGAAGACATGATAGGGGCCTTTCATCAATAAGAGAAGCTTTGGGAACTTAAATTCATGAAACACCTGTTAAATGCGTTTTATCCATAAAAGACATGTTAAGGAGATTCCTTAGAAGACGTGAGAAAGCTTCATTCCACGGAGCGAACTTCATATTATTGAAGACCGGTTAAGGGTATTTTACTCCTAGAATACCTTTAAAGGGTCTTTTGTATTCACGTTATCATATTGACCGAAGACCCGTTAAGGGCCTGTGAAGGCCCAATCCATAGAAGACTTCTGAAGCGTCTTATATCTCTGAAAGACTAGTTAAAGGCCATAGAATATCAATTAAGGGCCTATTAATTGTAGATCAAAAACCCTTAAAGGACATTTTATGCTTTTCGTTGTTCGAAGATATTTTACGGGTCTTTTTTCCATGGAAGACCTGTAGACCTATTGAGAAGACATGCAAAGGGCCTACAATCAAGGAAAGGTACAAAGACCTTTTAATGGCCTACTATTCACAGACATGTTAAGGGGTCTCTCTCCATTGCAGACCTAAATTTTGTCATTTGTTCAGAATTCTTCGGTAAAGGATCTCCTATACATATAAGAGTTGGTAATCTCTTCTGCCCTGTAAATGAGCTTCTGTACATATAGAAAAACTGTTAAAAGAACTTTTACCTTCTATCTTTAGCACATGGTTCCGCAGCGGAACTTCTATGTATTGATGACCCCTCGACCATCTTCACTTTCCATAAAACCTATAGGTTCTCTCCATTTTAAATTTAAACTTACCTGATATAACCCACGATGAATTCAGCAAATCTCTGGCCAAAATATGACTGCATGTCTCATAATTGAATTCGGTGCCATCGAAGGTTCTGAACATTTTTCCACTGATTTCGCAGAAGTCATCTTTGCTGGGTTTGAGGACACAAGTGTAGGGTGGACAATCGCCGGGCTTGGTGGACGACATATCCAATTCGACAACATATTTCTCGGGGCACACGGGTGCTGAACAAGATTTTGTAACATTTTTCTTAACCACAACCTCCTTGATGGGAACACAAGTGAATTCGGCACAATCTTCTTCCTTGACAATTTCCAATTCATTGGAAGGACGATCCAGGAATTCTTCTGAAGAAGTGATAACCTTTGTCTTGGTGACCTTGCCATCTTCATCGCGATTGACGGTGACCTTTTTGGTGAATCTTTAATGGATAAACATAAAATTAATATTGATTGCAAAGGTCAATTTTGGAAAAGGCAACTTACGTTGACGAGAACATGCTGGACATTTTCCTTTGTTTCTTTTCGGTGATTTTCATCATCATTTTGGGTGGACATTCTGGCACCGGGCAGGATATGACTTCAGCTGAAATTAAAAAGACATTTAGGAGACTTCCTAAAAAGGCTTTCACAATTAAACTACTTACTCTCTGTGGTAGTAACATTAGGTTTGTTGTTGACATAGATGGTGTTGGAGCAAGTCTCATCTTCATCATCAGCACAATCCTTAATACCATTACACCACAAGGCCTCAGCAATACAATCACCGCTAGAAGGACATAACTTCTGATGTTTGGGACAAGGTTCACACTTGCAATAGCAACCAGTTCCAACAATGGGACGTTGATCGGGTTCCTTGCATGGTGGACATTTCTTGGGTTTACAGCTGCTATGGCCACCCAGCACACAAGTACATTGCTCGCAGAGTTTATTCTCAAAGGTGGAACCAATGGGATACCTGTAAAAAAATGCAATTAAAGCAATATATATTTCCCTATCTGTCTTTCACTTACGGTATATAGTTCTCCACACAGGGACACAAATTGCTGGGCACACACTTGTTGCCATCCCAGAACAAATTATCCTTGCACTTGCAATTTCCATCTGTGGTGGAGGAATCAACAATGCCTTCACACACCAAACACTTGCTCGGTTTGGGTTTCTCAACTTCCACAATATTCTCACTGACAATGGCTAAGGAGAGATAAAGAGAAAATTAAAACCTCCGATTGGCTTTTAATTGAAACCCTGGACTTACGATATTTCTCGAAACAACCCAATGGCTCAATACGCATATTGATGTTCTGCTCATATTTGGCTGGCACCAGCTTAATGTACTGTGTCAATATCGGTGTCTTAAAGTAATTCGTCTGTTCCGTATCCTTGTCATGATTACCGGGGAATATACGTGGCTGGCCATCAACATCCAAAACCTTGTTCCATATGAGTTTATTCTTCGAGAACATAACCTTGTAGCCGGTGACCCAACCATCTGGACCACCTTTGGTGGTGAAACCGGAAATGTTGCGTGGTTCCAAGAAATCAAATTCAATATATTCATTAGGTGTATTCAAGGCGGGTCTCCAGCCCACAGGTGATGATAGTTTCAGCAAATCCAAAAGTTTTGGTTTCTTAGCCGGTTTGGGTAGACTCCAAACGGTGCTGGCCTTTACTTGACGTGGACTCATTTCATTGTTTTCAACACCCATCTTATCGGTACATTCCAATTCATCTTCCAAATGAATGGGATGTTCAGTGATGGGAGTGGTCTTTGGCGGCACAGTGGTGACTTCGGTGTGGCTACAGCCCAACAACTCAACACGCATAGCAATCGAGTTATGCCATTTTAGAGGATAGATTTTCACGGATTTAGCCTCAATGGGTATTTTGAAGAGGGTCTTGGCTGGGGTACGAGCATTTTGTGGTCCATTGAACAATTGAGGTTTATCGGTTTCATCGTTCAAGGCATGATATGCTTCCCCATCGTGACTGTAGAAGATCTGAAAAGGAGCAATTTGGAAAAGTAAGTGTAAAATTGTATCTTATAAATCTAATGGTTAAATTTGATGGAGAAAAATTCCCCCCTTTACCTTACAATGTCATGGACCATACCTTATGGGACAATTTGAGATAAATTCGCAAAATTTACAACTTTAAATTTAAAATGTGTTTTCAGAGTTAAGAAAATGTTATAGCCACAGCTATATGATACGGCCAAAATGTACCTCATCGAAATAAAGGACTTAAAATCCAGGTCTCTTTGAATGAAATCCGTTTCAAGACATTTGAAGACGATCTAGTGAAGCCCGAAAACTCACGAAGGGAGTATCAGATTTCCTTCAAACTTACATCGAATTATTATTATCTAAATTAGATCGGGTTCGAGAAAGGGCAACATATTTCCACTCCTTCAGGTACTTACCCCACAAATGGTCAAAATGTTCATAGAATATAATTTACCTCATAGAAAGGAGAATTATCATTCAATTTGGCTCAAACTTTATAGCAATATTTGTGCCAGCTCTATGTTAGGTGCAAATATAGATAATATCGACCCGTTTCGTCTAGTACCTATCCCCCACAAACGACTAGAATTTAAAATAATCATAACTGATATAAAATGTGTATAGGTGTCCGACTGTCTTCAAATTTCGCACATCACATTATTTCTAAAAAAAACTTGTTCTGTTTGGAAGATAGGATGGAACGAATAATTCCTTTAGTCGAGGCCAATGTGAGCACTTCCAAAAAAAATTGGATACTCCTCAGAGTTTTTTTTATTTATATGCATACTACCAATTGCTCGCTACCCTAAAATTTTAGATTCATTCCAACAGTTCTTGTTAGGCTTTCTTAGTATTCAAAATGCACATTTTTTTTTTTTCAATTAAAAAAAAATTAATCCACACTTCACACATTTTACAACATTTTCAGACTTTCAAGGTTTCACATAATATTCATAATACCCTGCAACACTATGTGTTGGGGGTATTATAAGTTTGACTGGACCAAAAAAGTTGTAACACCTCGAAATATTGGTTTCCCACATAGGAAATTATATATGGATCTTCCTATCTCGCCGAGCTGAGTCGATCTAGCTATATATGTCCCTCCATCCGTAATCAAGCTACAGGTCGTAATTATGGCCCGATCCTCACGAAATTGAGGTGGGGGGGTCAGAATAGAAGATGGAGATGATTGCAAAATATTTAGGGGTTGAAATGGACCAAAAACAGAAAATTGTCCTGATTTTGCAGTTGCTCCGTAGGCCACAATTATGAACCAATTGACCCGAAAATTTACATGGAGCTAGAGTTTATGACTGGGCAGAAACCTACCTATTTGGACATTCGGACAATATTTAGCGGGTAAAATAGATCCTAACTTTTATATAAGAAAATACGAAAATTGTCAAAAACCACAAATATTTTTAATCCCAGCCATATCACAAATACATTAAGAGATCACTCCTGACCATTACAGGGATGCTGATAGCCAAGAAATCGGATATATAGCAAAATAGGTACAATATATATGGAAAAAAAATAGATATTATTTATTCTGCTTATAAGTCAGGAACCACTGGGCCGATTTTCATAATCTAAAAAAAATCGCGGAATAATATACCAATAAAAAAATGAACAGCTTTTGTCTCAAGGGGTAGGGTTAGGGTCAGAATTAAAGCCTTTTGTCCCTAAGATGTACATTTAGGGGTTCAAATGGACTAAAAATTTAAAATTTTCTAATTTTCTAGTCACTTATAGGCCACAATTGAAAACCAATCGATACGGAATTTCGCACCAGAGGAGAGTTAAGGACAAGGAAGAAGTCTAGCATTTAGATGGCCATTGGATTATATTTAGCTGTAATATGGTAAAACTTTCGTGTAAAATACCTAACAACACGACGGAGTGCGTAAATATTGGCCAAATTCCCCGGCCTCAGGGTAACATCTGGGCTGGGCTCCTTGACATTTTTTCAAAAACGAAATCTTCCAAAATGGATTTGGACATGAAGGGGCTTCGAACAAATTGTACCCTAAAATATCACATGGTCGGCCCGCACGGCTATAGCCTTTGCTTGTTTGTTTATTTTTCGGAAAGGAAAATGTTCACTGAAAAGTGAAAGTGGAGCAGAGAAATTTTAATCGATCATGATGGTAGATTTGTCATAACGTTGCCATATTGACTCGTTCGTCCTACGACCTACTTCTGTTAAACTAAGGCATATATGAGCAAAATATGAACAACATCAATAAATCATCCCTATTGCATAAACCAAAAAAAAAAAAACATTTTTGTGCCTTTGTGTAAATTCTTACCTTAAACAGTGTAACATAATTATCAAAATCAGGGCTACCGGCCATAATAACACCATACAATGGCTCTGGATGAGGTAGAACAATTTCCAAATATTGATTTTGATCATTGATCATGGGAGACCAAGCACCCGACTTATCGGTGGGGCTATCTGATAAACGTGCCATTTCGGGGGCATATTTGGGACCCAATGAGGAGTTGGCCTTGAAAACGGAATCAGGCAAGGGTTCGTCAGTTTCAATTACGGGGACCATTCTGTAAAAAAGCAAATAAATTGAATAAAATATTACAAATCTACACATCTTTAGGCTGTTACTTACAATTCTGGATTACATTTCTTGGGTGGTGAAACTGTAACCGGGAACAGAGTTACAACCTCAACTTCTGGCTCTGGTTGTGGTGGTGGTTCGGTCACGACTTCCTCAATCTTATTCGGCAAGCATGAGTAGGCATTATCCAAACACTGGCAAATTTCCCATTCTCCCACAAATGGCATGTGGGGTTGGACATATTTCTCCGTCTTATCCATGCAAGGGCAGGCATCGGCTTCAACACAGGTATTCTCATCACGCCAGTATTTACCGGCCGAACATTCTGGGCGTGTTGCAGGTACACAACCGGGTTTGCAGAGTTCACCCTCTTTGCATAGGCCGCGTTTAATCAGGACCTGAATATAAATAAATTATTTTTCAACTTCCTCCTAATTCTTAAATAGTCAAACTTACCATTCCGTAGTAGTGACATGTGCGCTCACATTGATTGGCACACTCCGACCAAACTTGACCTGGAGGACATTGCAAGATCGGTACTAGACGATCCTTCTCGCTACTGCCACATGTGGGTTTCAAATCCTGCACAGCGCTAATGTGATCACAAATATTCATGATGGGATTAAACATCATCGATTCGCCACAGGTCTTCTCCACATAATGCCAGCTGCCGTCGGTTTTCGGTTGGCAATGCAAGAATTTGTGACAATCACCCGGATATTCCTTATACTCAGCAATGACACTATCACAGGCCAAACCAATTTCTGGTTTCTCAGTGGGCTTAGGAGTTGTAGTCGGCTCAGCATCGCATTCACAGAACACTCGAATCTCATAGTCATGACAATTACCCACACAATTTAGACCATTTTGTAGATTACAGAACACGTTTTCATCCATAAAATCTGACGACTCATGGGTACCCACCACCCGACATTCAATCTTGGTCATGAATTCCTTTTTGCAAGTACCATAAATGCTTTCGAGGCGATCATAACGTGGCAATTTTTCACTATCGTCCAAACGGATGACATTGTTCGAAGGATATGGATCATCATCGAACCATCTGGTCCAACCCTTAACACATTTGGGTTGCGTTTCAGTTTGCAGCGGTCGAGTTGTAGTTCCCTCGACAATGATCGGACTTTTGGTAATAACATCCTCAACACATTTAACACCACTGCAAATTTCCTTTTTCTTCGAACAGCGACATGTCGAACAGTCATCTTGGTAGGTGATATCACCCTCATAGAACGTTTTGCCATCCTTGATCATACAAACCGGTTTACATTCAGATTTTGGTACACACTCCCGATAGGTATCGTTGAGATAGATTAAACCCTCTTCGCACGGCTTGATCTGGCAACCTTCCATACAATTTTCTTTCTTACACATATGTTCGCCGCCTTGCATCAAGAAGTTGTCACAGGTCTCCACGGGACATGCCGGGGTGCATGATTTGTATTCGGAACAGTGGGGATCACATTGCATTGCTGGAAAAGGTAGGCAGAGTTATTTTGAGATATAAGTAGTGCTAGGCAAATAAATGTTAAGAAATTGGAAAAGTGATTTTAGATTTAAAAGACCTCGAAAAAACGGAAAACCACAAGTGGCTATCGTTAGAGCACTCCAGCATTTAAATGTGAATAAATCTTGTGTGTCTAGTACTATCGCTCGTTACCATGATACTGCTAGTGTAGCCCGACGCCAAGGAAGTGGACGGAAGAAAATAGCAACATCAGCAGAAATGGTTCGAAAAGTGCAGAAGCGACTTGATCGAAACCCGAGTCGCAGTGGCCGAAAAATGCTCGTGAGGTGAAAAATGAGCTCGGGGTAAAGCCATTGAAATTCCAAAAAGTGCAAGAACTTACACCGCAGCGGAATGAAAATAGACTCAAAAGAGCTAAAGAGTTGCTTCGCTTGGCCGAATGTGGTGAACTGATGTATTTGGTTTTCTCCGCTCCGATGAGAAAACATTCGTTGTCCAGCAGTTTGTAAACCAACAAAATGATCGTGTTTACCTGCCAAAGAGGTCACCTTCGGTTGGCCACAAGAACTCAAGGGCCGCCATAACAGCCGATGGTCGTTCTCTCCTCGTATTCATTGACCGTGGCATCAGAAGAAATTCCGAATATTATCGCGAAAATATTCTGGAGGGTGTATAAAAGCCATGGGCACGCAAATATTTTGACCGCAGACCTTGGACATTCCAATAAGACTCAGCACCATCGCACTCAGCACGCGCCAATCAAGAATGGTTACAAAATGAGGTTCCTCGCTTCATTTCCAGCGCACAGTGGCCACCAAAATCTCCACATACCAATCCGTTTGACTATTGTGTCTGGAGTATTTTGGAAAACAAGGTTGGCATTAAAAAATACCTCAGTGTCGAGGACCTCAAGCAAGCGCTCTGCCGGAAATGGGCCAAAATATCGCAAAGCAACATTCCGGCAGCGTGTGACGGTTTCATTGGCCGTTTGAAGGCCATATTTCGTGCCAAAGGTGACCAATTCGAACAAATCTAAACTTATTCTAAAATTTGATGTTGTTTCCGACATTTTTGCTAAAATTAAAAACATGTAATAATTATGGCGTTTGACTTTGTTGTTGAAGCTAAATCTGAACCGATTTTCACCAAATTTGAGGTACATGCTTCTAGACCGGATTCGGTCGGATGTGCCAAAATTCACAATTAACCTGAAACTGGTTGAAGATATATATGGGAGCTATATCCAAATCTTAGCCGATCTCGATAAAATTTGACAAAGATATTTCCGAGCTTTATAATATATCTGGTACCAAACATCATTCTTGTGGGGAGCATATTACGAATATGAGGAACTTAAAACCCCAAATCGAATGAAACATATATATGGGAGCTACAGCTATATCTGAACCGATTTGCACTAAATTTTATGTACTAGCTTCTTAACTGAATTCGGTCGGATGTACCAAAATTCAGGACTTTCGACTGATAGTGGCCATTTACTGCACATGTGGGAGTTATATTTAAATTTGAACAGATTTTCACCAATTTCAATTGGTTTCGCATCTTATCTCAATCTGATAATCTCAATCTCGCTTCCTTCTTCATGTTACAGACAGGATTTGTGGTAGGATTTGTCCTACCTTACTGTACCGACAGATTTATTTATTATTATTATTTTTATAACCTCCACCATAGTATGGTGTTTGTAACACCTCGAAATACACATAAAATTCTATGTCGATTTAGCGATGTCCGTCCGTCTATCCGTCTATTCGTCTGTTCGTCTGTGGAAATCACTCTAGCTTCCGAACGAATTGAAGTAGATTGATAAAATTTTGCTCAAATGTATGTTATGTCTGCAGGACTTTTGGTATTGAAAATGGGCCATGGTATAGCCCCCATATAACAGTACCTCCCGACATTCTGTATTTTTATGATTTTAGCGAGATTATTCGGAATAGTTTCAAATTTGATATTTAAAGTTCGTAACGGATACTACAACCTAAGACAGAAAATTGTCTTTGCAGGTCCACGTCTTCGTAGAGCCCCCATATAACCCTACCTCCCGATACCCTACTTCGAGCAATTCTGCTACTTTTCCACCTCTTCTAAGCATTTATGACTTTTATAATCTGTTGATCACAATGAAATCTTAGTTACTCCAATTAAACTTATCAAGTCCAACTATAGTAAACTACGTCATTATAACCCATCCAATAACATGTTCTTTTTCTCAAATTAATTTATCAATATTACAGTGCACGCCCTGATTAAATTCTATTGAATACATGTCCTATAAGGATTATTCTACATGTCAAACAAATATTTGAAAATCAATTTTTCCATTGTCAATTAACTTGGGTTCTCCAATAAATTCCTTGTTTTTCAATAACTAACACACATACGAGCATCTCTTGTTCGCATATTTACTCGAACAAAGAAAAAAAAAACTCGAGGAGAACAAAAAGGACTCCAACATAATCCACAAATTACACTTCCTTTCAAGTAAAATTTAACTTAATGACAAATTTCCGAACGACCCTGCTGCCATTATCCCATACATCAACATCCTGCTGTTGCTGCTACTGCAACAATTTTGAATAGCCTCAAAACCTTTGCCAATAAGGAATTAAGTCAACAAGCTAAATGCTTGGATGGCTGGATGGATGCTTTGGCTCCCAACCCATACCGGATTGGTCGACGTCGTCGTGACAAATCTCTAACAACCACAATAACGATTATAAGATTATACAAATCAACTAATGTTCCATGGATACCCCCACATGCATGTAACGAAAAAGTCTTTAAGGATCCATTAAAGCCGTAAGAGGCACTTCAAAACTTCGGTGTCGTCCCATTGTTGTACCGTCCTGTTGAACAAAAGCGTTGAGGATGGCGGACAAACGAACGAACGCCAATCAAGTCATGTATGTCGCTTGTAATGCATTACTCGTTTACCTATGCATGTGAAGTGAATGAATGAGTGAATACTTACTCACTCTATTGCCGTGTGTGTGTGTGTGAATGTTCACAACAGACTCTGGCGATATCCCATCCTAAACTCCACAAGAAATCGAAGGGTAGACTTGGTGCTTGTGTGTTGAATGCTTGTAAATGTAGGATATAAAAATCCACTGCCAGTGGAATGACAATGGCAACATATTGAACAATGTGCTTCAGAAGCATTTGCGTTTGTTTTTTAAACATTTCTCTCACATCGAGCAGTAGGAACACATGCCGAAGCTTTACCATAGCTGCATATGTGGTATGAAATTCGTGGTGAAAATGATGTTATGATTTTCAAATAAGGATTTTTAAAATATAGAAAACTTTCTTTTCTTTATAGAAAGACCTAATATTGCTCTCCTATACGATAAAGTATTTCAGTGGGTTTCTTTTATGCATCAAATGCGTTGAAAATATGTGACCAAATTCAGCTTAAAACTAAGTTACTTGAATTTGGTAAAAATCGGTTTAGATATATCATCATATATATGTTTCATCCAATATGACATTTGAGAACCTCAAAACCGTAAACTGATATCAGTAACAATGCTTTTTGGTACAGAGTAGACTAGAAATACCTTTGCTCTCTCATCTATGATTTGATTAAGTTACATTTTTAATCATACGATCAAGTTCCGGCCAAAATAAATTCTGTCGAGTTGAGACCAAATCTATTTTAGAAAATGATGTAAAGACAAAAATATTCTAAATCTAATTGTAGGGTCCTTTTCATATATGGTTTAGGCTACATATCCACTTTAAATTTCCTACATCCCAGATTTGCTGTTTTATATTTTAAGACAATTTTCTACGAATTCTGAAAAAAGTATTAAATTTGCCGAGAGTAAACCGTTTTTATTTTTAATATCTGTGGTGTCCCACATTATATATATATATATTACTATAATACGCTCCTGTTAAGAATGTAAAACTATTTATATGAAAACTTATGTAGCTATGTACAAGTAATTTATAATGAGAGTACGTAATAACACCAGTATCAAGATAACTAATTAATAACATAGAATTATTCTCATATAAGCACACACGCTCTCTGGTACTCTCCTCATTCGGCAATACCAACCAGTAAAGAAAGTCATAAAGTCGGGCGGGGCCGACTTTATGATACCCTACACCACTTTGCTAATTTAGTAGAACTCCACATAACAATTAAAAGTTTTTATGGGAGAATTCAATCATACACGCTATGATTATAATTATAACTTAAAGTTCAAAGGACTAAATATGCCGAAGCATTCGGAATTGTATTGCCCATTTGGTGCACAATTAATTTGAAATCGGATAAAAATATATATGGGAGCTATATCCAAATCTGAACGGATCTCAATAAAATTTGGCAAAGATATTTCTGAGCTGTATTTGATATAATTCCCTGAATATCGTTGTTATGGAGTGCATATTATGGCTGTGAGTAACAAATACAACATATCGGATGAACAATATATGGGAGCTACAGCTATATCTGAACCGATCTTCACCAAATTTGGCATACTACCATCTAGACTCAATTCGGTCGTATGTGCCAAATTCCATCCTATTTGGGCAAATATTAGACATTTGGTGCACAATAAAAGGTAAATCGGACGAAGTTATATATGGGAGCTCTATCCAAATCTGAACCGATCTCGATAAAATTTAGCAAAGGTATTTCTGAGCTGCATTTGATATATTTCCCCAAATATTGTTGTTACAGAGTGCATAACAAAATAACAAATCGGATAAACAATATGTATGGGAGCTATAGCTATATCTGAACCGATTTCGATCAAATTTGGCATACTTATTTCCAGGCCTAATTTGGTTGTATGTGCAAAATTCCATACTATAAGGGCTGATATTATTATTTGGTGCACAATAAAAGCCAAATAGGACGAAGATATATATAGGAATTATATGTAAATTTTGACCGATTATCTCTAATTTCAATAGGGTTCGTCCTTGGGCCAAACAAATGATTTGTGCAAAATTTCCTCGGAATCGGGCAATAAATGCGAACTGTACTTTGTTTACAAAAATACATGGACAGACGGACGGACGGACATGCATAAATCGACCCAAAATGTGATTCTATGCAGATCATCAAAAGGAACTATGAGTCTATCTCGTTTCCTTTTGCCTGTTACAAACAAATGCACAAAGACATAATACCCTGACCACCTTGTGGTGTAGGGTATAATTAAAGAAATAGAATCCGTTAAAAATTCTCTTAAAATTTCTCAAAAATATTGAATAAATGGTTTTACCGTAATTTTGTAGTCTATAGAAGACCTGAATTTTCTGTCAAAATCTGTAGTACCCATTACGAAGTGCAAATACGAAATTTGAAACAAATCCAGTAAATTATGTTGTTAAAATCATCAAAGTACTGAATATAAGGAGGTATTGATATTTAGGGGATCTATCTGCATAGACAATTTTATACCATAAGGTGTAGTACCCATTAGGAACTTCAAATACGAAATATTATACAATTCCGGTGAATAATTTCGCTAAAAAAGTCAAAATGCCGTATGTAGGAAGATACCGATATATAAGGTCTATACGAACACCTGGACCTTCAGAGACTATTTTTGTCATAGACTGTAGTACCTATTATTAACTTCAAATACGAAATATGGTTAGATGAGAACTATAACTAAACGTGGACCTACATAGTCCATACCTACAGACCAAACACACATTCGAGTAACATTTTATCAATCTACTTCAAATCGTTCGGTGGCTAAAGGGATATCCACAGACGGACAGACAGACTGACTGTCATTTTTAAATCGACATAAAATTGTATGTTGATCAAGGATATATATACTTTGTGGGGTCTAACATGTATATTTTCGTATTTTTACAAACGGAATGACAAACTTAATATACCCTCCATACTATGGGGGTGTAAAAAAACTGTAAGGATTTCAAGAAATCTCAATTTAAAACTTTCCAAATACCTGGAAGTGGGGGACCTTGCACGGTATTTTGCATACTTTGCTAGGTAAACGTTCAGATCTCCAATACACGTGTCTTCCATTTTTAGCTCCACTCTCATAATCTACAAAAAATTTTCCTTTAAATATTTTTTGTGTTGCACAGCGTACCGGGTACTTCCGGTTTTCATTATTTCATCGCAGAAAACATCTTAATGTGTCAATTATGTATGGAAGAACACTTAAGGCTCTTAGCCTTTATATAGGTCTTCCTATTGGAGTTTATATTCAGAAAAGTTCCAAAGGATATTTTAAATGCGGATGAACTCTCATTGATCTTCCAAGTATTAACAAGTAAAAAAGCAGTAAGTTCGGCCGGGCCGAACTTTGAATACCCTCCACCATTTGGAACGAATTAGAGAATATTCAAAAAAAAAATAAAATCCATTGAAAATTCTGTTAAAATCTTTAAGATACCTAATATCGGAAGGTGCCGATATATGGGGGGATATACGCTATTGTGGACCTATATAGACAAATCTATGTCTGGGGGTAAAGTACTCACAAGGAACTCCTTGTGTGGATTTTCAGATAATTCCATTGGGAAACGTGGCTAAAATCATCAAAACCCCGAATATCGGGGGAACCGTTATATGGGGGATATACGATACTGTGGACCTATATAGACAAATACCTTTCAGGGGTTAAGGTGCTCACAAAGAACTCCTTGTGTGGATTTTCAGACAATTCCGTTGAAAAATGTGGGTAAAATCATCAAAATACCGAATATCGGGGGGTACCGTTATATGGGGGATATACGATATCGTGGACCTGTATAGACAATTCTCTCTCAGGGGGTAAAGTACTCACAAGGAACTACTTGTGTAGATTTTAAGACAATTCCATTGAAAAATGTGGCTAACATCATCAAAATACCGAATATCGGGGGGTACAGTTATATGGGGGATATACGATATCGTGGACTTATATAGACAATTCTTTTTGAGGGGGTAAAATGCCCACAAGGGACTCCTTTTGTGGAATTTCAGACGATTTCATTGAAAAGTGTGGATAAAATAATCAAAATACCAAATATCGGGGGTACCGTTATATGGGGGCTATACGATATCGTGGACCTATATAGATAATTCTCTGCCGAGGTATAAAGTACCCACAAGGAACTCCTTGTGTGGATTTTCAGACAATTCCGTTGAAAGATGTGGGTAAAATCATCAAAATACCGAATATCGGGGGGTTCCGTTATATGGAGGATATAAGATATCGTGGACCTGTATAGACAATTCTCTCTCAGGGGGTAAAGTACTCACAAGAAATTACTTGTGTGGATTTTCAGATAATTCCGTTGAAAAATGTGGCTAAAATCATCAAAATACCGAATATCGGGGGTACAGTTATATGGGGGCTATACGATATCGTGGACCGATATACCCCATCTTCGAACTTGACCTGCCTGCAGACAAAAGATAGATCTGTGCAAAATTTTAGCTTCCTATCTTAATTCGTTTAGACTGTAGCGTGATTACAACAGATGGACAGATGGACAGACGGACAGACGGACAGACGGACAGACGGACGGACAGGGCTAAATCGTCTTAGAATTTTACGCTGATCAAGAATATATATACTATGTTGGGTCTAAAATGATTATTTCGATGAGTTACAAACGGAATGACGAACTTAATATACCCTCCATACTTTTTTGGTGGAGGGTATAAAAAATGTTTAAGGGTCTTCTGTGTCTAGAAGAACTATTAAGGACCTTCCATGTAAAAAAGCCGTCTGAGCAATCTTCTGTTTGAAGAATACCTTCTAAAGGGCTTCCACATAAAAAAGAATAATACTTCTTCAGCGTCTCAATTCTAGGGGTTTTTTACGCTAAGAAAAAATCTGAAGGGTCTGCTGCATCTTTTACCTCTTAAGAATTTTCTTTATATAGACGACCTCATAATGCATATTTAATATGAAGAAAATGTCTGATGGGAGTCTACTTTTAAAAGAAGTCTTCTATATATTAAAGACCCTTATGAATCTTGTCTACATAGACGAGTCCTTAAGGGCATTTTTGTATAAGTCTTCTAAATAAATTGAACTTCCTACGTGTATACTATGCATAAAATACTTCCGAATATCTTCTATATTCATTTGAGGGTTTCTCAAGGGCTAACTAATGATATTTTTTTTTATTAAGATGATATCTTCTATGTATAGTTGGTTTATATAGAAGTGTATGTGTTCAATACGAATAGAAGGTCCGCTTCTAGGTATAAACACCCATAATATGTCTTTTCATATGGCCCTCGTTAAAAAGGAAATTATTATTTTTCTACTTCATTTTGCCATATGGATGGGAACAATGAACATGTGAAGTGTACGACAAGTATGTGACGATTTTCCATAATGAATAATTGAAAACAATAGTTGAACATTAGCACACACACACTCATACATTGAATAAAATCACCGTCGCAAGTCCTTTAACAACAGCTCAATATGAAGATGAGTACAGCAACCCAAAGCTTCTAGGAGTAACATCGACCACAAAGGTTTAGAGGTTAGGGGTAAATGCTGTACAGTGCATACTCGAAGAGCAGAGGTCTCTTTAACCATTCCAAAATCGGAATAGCATGCAACATGTTTTTTGCGAAGCCATTGCTTAATACACAGAAAAGGAAATGTGCTTCAAACATATAAGAGTATGGGTGTGTGTGTGTGTGTTAGTATATTTCCCATATGAATTGACTTGAAATTATTTCCTTGATCTATATGTACGACAGCATGTGCCCCGCTCCAATATAAATGTGAAAATCAATGAGAAGTAAATCGTTGTAAATGACTATCTGAGTGTGTAAGGTTATATCCTTTCGCAAAATGCTTGGGCAATTGTACTTACGACAGAAGTGAGGTGTACGCCATCTAATTTGTATGCCCTTTTGCGAACAGGCATGAGCATAGGCTGCCACTGCCGTACAAAGACATTCGCAATCGCCACCTTGATCACAGGCACAGGTATCGAATATGCAACGTTTCAAGTATTTTTCAACAGGCACTTCACCATGGCACTCCTACAACAGCACAGCACACCGCACACAGATTGTCCCAAAACATCAGCAGTTGCATAGTATTTCCAAATGGTGGTCACAAAAATGGCATCAGCAAGAATTTTCACAATCGCATACGGGTAGATAGGTGTGTGTGTGTGTTCATGTGACAGTCAGCAAGATGAGTGGCAAGAAAATGAAAAAAAAAAAGAAAAAGGTAAAAGATGAAAACAAAGAATTTTAATTACATTACAATCCGAATAGCACATAACAATGAATGAATTTTATTGTCAAAGTATTTTAAAGCTTCTGGAGATTACGGTGGGATTGACTGCAAGAATGAATTTTTAATATTCGATAATGTCGAATGAAATGGCGACATATGTTAGGTAGGTAGGTAGGTAGGTAACATACATTTATTGAAGCAGTTATAAAATTATTATTTTTTTTTTTTTATTTTAAATTCTTAATATAATAGGCAGTAGGCAAGACTTAGCGCTGTGAAATAAATACATAGCTTGGAGTTGTGCAAAAAATTGGGACTACAAAAATAATTAGATTGCTTCGTATTCTAAATAAAGAAGCGAGTTGGTAAATGATATGATAAAAAAACGTCCTAAGACTTTTAAAACCTCCCAATTCTTCAAGACATCATAAAGTTGTCCTAAATACGGAAGACACCTTATTTATTTTTATACCCTACAACACTATGTATTGGGGGTATTATAAGTTTGATTGGGCCAAAAATTATGTAACACCTCGAAATATTGATTTTCCACATAGGAGAGTATATATGGATCTTCCTATCTCGCCGAGCTGAGTCGATCTAGCTATGTATGTCCGTCCGTCCGTCTGTCCATGTTAATTTGTAATCACTCTACAGGTCGCAATTATGGCTCGATCTTCACGAAATTTAGAATGGAGGTGGGGCTAGGGTCAGAATAGAACCCTATTTCTTTTGGAGATGATCGCATAATATTTAGGGTTTGAAATGGACCAAAAACTGAAAACTCCTGATTTTGCAGTTGCTCTATAGGTTGCATCAAAGCAGAAGTTAGCATGGGGCTAGAGTTTAGGGCTAGGCAGAAGCCAATTTTGATGGTCATCGGGTAATATTTAGTGGGTGAAAACGGCTACGACATATTTTTAATTCACAAATAGATGCCGCTATATTTACGTAGATGCAGCTGGTAAATATATATAATACTAGCTGAACCCGGTGCGCTTCGCAACCCCTTTTGATTTTATATGCACTCAAAATTTTATTTACGAATATACATTGGTTAAAAAAAAAAACAAATTTAAAAATTAAAAAAAAATTATTGCACTACTTTAAATAAATAAACAAAACCATTAGAAAAGCAATAAAAAGACATACATACACGGGTTTGTCCTTCGGATTTATTTATTTCATAGCAAATACCAAGCGTGCAGTAAACTGCAATCTTTTGAAGTTGAGTGGCATTTCTATTGCAATTAGTAAATTCGAGATAGCAACATACTTCGCCGTAATAAGCGTATTTCAAATTAATTGTTGTGTTGTTTTTTAGTATTAGCCTAAGGCGTTATGGGTCAATGGTTCATATTAAAATCATATCCCAATCTGATCCGATTTAAATATAATTTTAAAAAAATTACTTTTACACCAAATTCCGCCACACCTTTCATATTTCATTGAAATTGGTGCGTCTAACATGTGAAATCGGCCGAAAATATATATGGGAGCTATATCCAAATCTGAACCGATTTCAATTTAATTTGACAAATTCATTTTGGCTCCCAATTCCGTTACTTATTTTAAATTTCATTAAAATTGGAAATACATATCGTGTTTGGTCCACCAAATACATGAAATCGGCCGAAAATGTATATGAGAGCTATATCCAAATCTGAACCGATTTCAATATAATTTGGGAAATCAATCTTGTTGATAAATTCTATCACACGTTTCAAATTTCATTGAAATTGGTGATACATAGCGTGTTTGGTGCATCAAATGCTTGAAATCGGCCGAAAACATATATGGGAGCTATATCCAAATCTGAACCGATTACAATATAATTTGGCAAACTTATTTTTGTCCCAAATTCCGTTACGCTTTCCAAATTTGGAGACTGTATCTTTAACCAATCAATATATATGTGCATATAAAATCTAAATTTTTGGGAGGTACCTCCGATTCTGATGCTATATCTCCAGTTCCAAGTGGAAATTCAAAAATGTATATAGCCTATGTTACTTTCAGGCGATGTTGCAGTATATATGGAAATTTTCAGGAAAATCTATTCAGCGGGTTTCGAGTCCATAAATTACAAACAAACAAACAAACAAGCAAACATACAAACATTTTCCTCTTTTATAGATATACTAGCTGAACCCGGTGCGCTTCGCTACCCCTTTTGATTTTATATGCATTCAAAAATTTTTTTAAGAATATATGTTGGTTAAAAAAAAAAAAAACAAATTTAAAAAATTAAAAAAAAATTATTGCACTACTTTAATGCGTAAATAACCAAAATGACATACATACTCGAAGGGTTTGTCCTTCGGATTTATTTATTTCATAGCAAATACCAAGCGTGCAGGAAACTGCAATTTTTTAAGTAGAGTGGTTTTTCTATCGCAATTAGTGAAATCGAGATAGCAACATACTTCGCCGTAATAAGCGTATTTCAAATAAATTGTTGTGTTGTTTTTTAGTGTTAGCCTAAGGCGTTGTGGGTCAATGGTTCTTATTAAAATCATATCCCAATCTGATCCGATTTGAATATAATTTTAAAAAAATTACTTTTACACAAAACTCCGCCACACCTTTCAAAATTCATTGAAATTGGTGCGTCAAATATGTGAAATCGGCCGAGAATATATATATGGGAGCTATATCCAAATCTTAACTAATTTCCAATTAATTTATCACATTTATTTTATTTATAACCAAATTCCACCACACATTCTGAATTTCATTGGAATCGGTCATATATATCGTGTTTGGTGCATAATATGTATGAAATCGGCCGAAATATATATGTTAGCTATATCCAAACCTCAACTGATTTCAATATAATTTGGCAATTTTTGCTGGTACCTGATTTTGTCTCTCTCGCTTTGGGTGCATCAAATATGTGAAATCGGCTGAGCTATAATCACATCTGAGCGTATTTGAATATAATTTGTCAAATTTATTTTTGTATCAAATTTAGCCACTCATGCCGAATTTCGTTGGAATCGGAAATACGTATCGTGTTTTGTGCATCAAATATTTGAAATCGGCGGAAAATATATATGGGAGCTATATCCAAATCTGAACCGATTTTAATATAATTTGACTAATTTATTTTCTAATCAAAATCCCGTTACATACTCCAAATTTCTTTGGAATCGAACATATCGTGTATGGTGCATAAAATACATGAAATCGGTCGAAAATATATATGAGAGCTATATCCACATCTGAACCGATTTTAATATAATTTGACGAATGTATATTTGTTTTAATTTCCGCTACACATTCCAAATTTCATTGAAATTAGAGATACATAGCGTGTTTGGTGCATCAAATACATGAAATCGGTCGAAAATATATATGGGAGCTATATCCAAATCTGAACCGATTTCAATATAATTTATCAAATTCATTTTGGCTCCCAATTCCGTTACTTATTTTAAATTTCATTACAATTGGAAATACATGTCGTGTTTGGTCCACCAAATACATGAAATCGCCCGAAAATGTATATGGGAGCTATATCCAAATCTGAACCGATTTCAATATAATTTGGGAAATCAATTTTTTAGATAAAATCTATCACACGTTTCAAATTTCATTGAAATTGGGGATACATAGCGTGTTTGGTGCATCAAATGCTTGAAATCGGCCGAAAATATGTATGGGAGCTATATACAAATCTGAACCGATTTCAATATAATTTGACAAATTTATTTTCGGATTAAATCCCGTCACACATTCCAAATTTCATTGGAATCGAACATTCATATTGTGTTTGAGGCATCAAATGAACGAAATCGGTCGAAAATATATAAGGGAGCTATATCCAAATCTGAACCGATTACAATATAATTTGGCAAACTTATTTTTGTTCCAAATTCCGTTACGTATTCCAAATTTGGAGACTGTATCTTCAACCAATCAATAGATATGTGCATATAAAATCTAAATTTTTGGGAGGTACCTCCGATTCTGATGCTATATCTCCAGTTCCAAGTGGAAATTCAAAAATGTATATAGCCTATGTTACTTTCAGGCGATGTTGCAGTATATATGGAAATTTTCAGGAAAATCTATTCAGCGGTTTTCGAGTCCATAAATTACAAACAAACAAACAAACAAACAAACATACAAACATTTTCCTCTTTTATAGATATAGATATAACGAAATGGCTTGACATATTTTGACAAATGATATCAATGGGCTCAGAAGGGCTAGGCTTATTGTTTTCAAAGATGCCCGCAATATATTAGGGGTTGAAATGGACCAACAACTAAAAATTTTCCTGAATTTGCAGCCGTTATAAAGGTCACAAATAGAAAACAGGGGACACGAAATCTCGCATAAAGTTATAGTTTAGGACAGCGGGTACAATGGACCACTAATTTTGTGTGAAAAAATACCAGCATTACTTACAGGCGATATCCGAAATACACAAAAGGCGAACTTCTGGCTTTTTTATGCTGATTTCGTTGACGAATATAGGCAAATATCGTAGACAAGCAAATTATATAGATGAGTCTCAATTTGGAGATAAAGAGGAGATGCTTTTGGAGATGATCGCAAAATATTTAGGGGTTCAAATGGACCAAAAACAGAAAAATTTCCTGAAATATTGGGCAAATGTCCCTGGTGACATAATTTCAAAAGCGAAATCTTCCAAAATGGATTTGAACATAAGGGGGCTGCTAAGATATGGTAGTATTGTAGGGTATCACATGGTCGGCCCGCACGACTATAGCCTTTGCTTACTTGTTTCTTAATGAGGAAGGCATCAAAAGTCTCTCAAAACAACAGCAAACACTCCAAAAGGATCTTTCAAATAAGAAAGACGCCTCACAGCCAACATGAAGTCCCTGTACTTAATTGGAAAGATGTGTTAAGACTCTAAAAAAAAGTAGGATACGGTTGTCTAAATAAAGGAAAAGTTTTAGAACAGTGTCGTCCAGACTTTTCACTAAGCATAAGAAAGAGAACAAATGCTTTGATTTTTGTGTTTAATCGCTTTGAATAATATTCTCTAATGATAATATTGAAAAAATATTTATATATGAATTCATCTACTTCTATGACAGCTTAAGAGCCTTCTCTATACAGGGTAAGATGAAAAAACTGCAACCAACTTTAGACTGCTATAATTTCTAAGCCACTCGTCTGACACAAGTGGCTATCGTTAGAGCACTCCAGCATTTAAATATGCATAATTTTTTTGCGTCTCGTACCATCGCTCGTTGCCGTGATACTGGTAGCGTAGCCCGATGTCAAGGAAGTGGATGGAAGAAAACAGCAACATCAGCAGAAATGGTTCGAAAAGTAAAGAAGCGACTTGATCGAAACTCGCATTGCAGTGACCGAAACATGGCTAGGGAAATATTGAAAAATGAGCTCAGTGTAAAGCCATTCAAATTCCAAAAAGTGCAAGAACTTACACCGCAACGGAAAGAAAATAGACTCAAAAGAGCTAAATAGTTTCTTCGCTTAGCCGAAAGTGGTGAACTGCTGAATTTGGTTTTATCCGATAAGAAAACATTCGTTGTCCAGCAGTTGATAAACAAAGAAAGTTATCGTGTTTATTTGCCAAAGAGGTCAGCTACAAATGTGCACCTTCGGTTGGCCACCAGAACTCAAGCGTCGGCCATGGTGACGGTGTGGGCCGCCATAACAGCTGATGGTCGCTCTCGGCTCATATTAATCGACCGTGGCATCAGAATAAATGCCGAATATTATCGCGAAAATATTCTGGAGGGTGTATTATAGACTTGGGCACGCAAACATTTTGGCCGCAGACCTTGAACATTCCAACAGGACTCAGCACGCGCCACCCAAGAATGTTTACAAAATGAGGTTCCTCGCTTCATTTCCAGAGCACAACCAAAATCTTCGGATACCAATCCGCTGGACTATTGTGTCTGAAGTATTTTGGAAAGCAAGGTTGGCACTAAAAAATACCAAAGTGTCGATCACCTCAAGCAAGCGCTTCATCGGGAATGGGCCAAAATACCGCAGAGCAACATTCCGGCAGCGTGTGACGGTTTCATTGACCGCTTGAAGGCCATAATTCGTGCCAAAGATGACCAATTCGAACAAATCTTAACTTATTCTAAAATTTGATGCTATTTCCGACATTTTTTGTTTTCATTCAATAAAATTTAAAAAAAAAATGTAAAAATTATGGCGTTTGCCTTTGTTGCAGTTTTTTTATCTCACCCTGTATATCCATAGATAGGCGGCTCTATGAGAATTGATGACAGTTTGCAAGATCTTTCAAAAAATCCGCATTAATGTATGCTCGTGAAACCCAACTTCGACATTTTCCTCTAGGAAATATTATTTACTAGTTGGCCCGGTCCGCGTTGCCGGCCCATAGTTTTAGTCTTTAATGCAAATTTTGTATAGCATAATATTTCACAAATCTGGCTCATAAAGGTGAGGCAAAATAGTTTCTGAATAGTCAAAGTTAATTACGCTTTTACACCCATTACCATAGCACCTCAAATTGCGCATTACAATCCCCAAAAAGTCTATGTTCTTGTTCATAGTAAAATTCAATGACGATTAAAAAATGCCCGTGTTGTTGTCAGCCAATCGGTAAAAATCACTATAGATCGGCGCGCCTGGGGACTATATGGGGACTGTACCAAAATATTTACGTATGTTAACATTTTTCTGTAAGATGGTTCTCTATTCACAAAGTAGCCTAAATACAGCAAAATAGATTGGAAAATGTGGTCAAGACCCTCGAAATAGAAAAGCCAAGATGTCAAACATTGGCCAAATCAGTTGAAAAACGTGGCCAAGTCCACAGTCATAGCTGAAATCAGGGATACATTCATATGAGGGTTATACCAAAACGTGGCCCAACCAATATTCTCTTGGGGGTTGCAAATTCAATAGAATACAAAATATTTTTTTCTGACCACACATTAGATGTGAAAGTGGATTTGGGGATACTCCAATGTGGGGACTTTACTTAAATAAATTCCTATGTGGCAATTATCTGTATGATGGTTCCCTACCTCAGGGTCGCATAAATACAATTTTTTAGCCAAATCAATTGATGAATGTGGTCAAGACCAATATGGGCCCCACTCCAAAAATTTCAAAGTTTATCCGAAGAGGTTCTCTACCCCCTTAGGAAAAGATGAAAAAAGTAGCCAAGATCCCAAAAATAGCTTAAATCATAAAATGGTTATATAAATATGAAATTGGGTTGTACCCTTATCCGTGAGTTTTGATCGATATCATGACCTGCAAAAGCGATTAAAGGTATCTTGAATGTTTGGGAAGAATTTTTGGAAAGATAGAAATCCGTTTCTTACTATAAGTTCCATTCGCTCTACTATTTTGCACCTTTTATATTTGGTGTTTTACTGATTGTACTCCCAGAGAATTTTGCATTTTGAGCTCTCTTTGGATGGATTATTGTCACATGAAAGAAGTAGGTCCAGGCTTTGAAATGAGCCCCATTAGGCTTTTTCGGTCATTTTTGTTCGTTTAAATGTGTTCGCATCTTCCAGCTGAACCACGATGTAGGCCCTGGAGTTGAAAGGTAGACGTCAGTTAACATCGTATTTCGCACTTATTTCATTTTTTGGTGAAAAATTATATATAGTGAAAATTATTCTTTATTTTGTTCACAAAAAATCCATTGAATTCAATATGATAATACAAATTGAAAAAATTGACAAAAGAAGAATAACAAATTGAAAAAATCTTCAACTTGTTCGCTTATTTTTATCGGCAAATGTTTAAAGATCCTTACAAAGTTTATCAATAGAATGTACTATTATTTTAAAATTCGATTCCATTGAAATTTTTTTCGATTTTTTCCCGATTTGAGAATTTTTGCAATGAGATCTCTTTTTCGTGATTTTTTTAGCGATTTAAAAAACTAATTATCTTTTAACTTTTTAACTTTTATTCCGTTTCGCCACCACATAATTCGGTACTACACTTCCATGTAACCCGACATCAATTTCAGTTCTCAAGAGATCAAGTCAATTAAGTAAATTGGTATTAATATTCGAATTCAAAAATGAAATATAAAAAACACTACAAATGTACATTAGAAAAAAGTAAGTCAAAATGGGAAAAATCATGCGAAATAAAACATTACTATTGTACATTTCAAAAGTCAAAATGAAAATGTTAATATGTCACATTATTACGCAATTTTTTTTGATATTATCCTTTTCGGAGAGGAGACAATTCCGAATTTTTATGAATCGTTAAAATCAGTCCAGCGGTTCTTAAGTTATAAGCGTAGTAACTAACACAACTTACATTTATATATATATATATATATATATATATATATATATATATATATATATATAGATTTTTATAGCTTCAGCCTCATGACTACATTTGATAAAGCTAAAATGGCCTCATCAAAATAATATTCTTAGACCCTACGTCTCTTTGAGCAAACTCTCATTTCAGCATTAGGTCGATCTAGCTATGTCCGTCCGAAATTGAGTTCGGAGTCAAACATTTTGGTTTGTCCCCATAAGTCCACCCTTTCTTCTAAAAAAATAAACTCATATCCAGTTAAAAGTTTCTTTTTCATATCATAATATTGAGATGAGACTTAGATCAGCTGCGAAAATGAACATGACATACAAAAGTTTAAAATGTTCAAAAAAGATCTCACATTTATTCATGAAAATATGCGAAAATATGTTCCCACTGTATCTCGTACCTCCTCCAAATGTTCAACATTTAAATACAAATAACTTTCGTAAAATGTTGAATCAGTGTCTGATATTCTCCAACCTTAGCACATGCCAATATTTTCGTCTACATTACAGCAAGTGTAAAAATAGGGGAAATCGGCCCACTCTTTCTGTAAACAAACTGGAGGTAACGACCTCATCAAAATATAGATCTTAGCAAAAATATTTCCTTACAAAGTCTTTTCCAAACACAAACACATTCTTCAAAAAGAAGCCATCGTAACAAATTCTCAGCCAATTTCCCACCGCCCTTAAATTTTCAAATCCTTTAAAATGACTTACCTTAAAATGATCCGATTTCAGGATACCACATTTAAGTTGAGCCCATGTCTCACGCTCTGGATGCTGTTTGCAGGCATCAATTGGTATGGTGGGCATTGCACAGTACTGCTGCACCTTCCACGAATGGCCAAAAGTCAAAGGACTTGTCTCCAAGGCCTGCGATGGTGTTTGCATATCATCCATGGCATTGTCATTGTAATTGCCGCACAAGCCGCTAACTTTGTTCTTCCATTCGTTGCCCAATTTCACATAGACGCGAGTTCCTTCGTCCCATTTAATTTGCAAGTGTAGAGGTAGAACTTCGACCACAACAAAGACACCGGCCTTGTAGACATTGAAGGCACCGTGGGCTTTGGCATTGATGGTATCGCGGATTTCTGAAAGCATACACAAGCGATGATTTTTTTTTTTTTTTTGAAATATTTCAAATCGAAGTGACCTCCGTCCTCAACTTACTGTTTATTGTCGACTTATTTGGTATGTCCAAATACGAAGCATCACTGGATAGAATCAAAGTATCTTGAACACTACCAGTTAGAGCAATTTCCACCGATTTCGAACAGGTAACACCCATTGTGCCGCACAACACATTTTGAATGGTTATGGTAAAGCCATCCCCGTTGCTGGCCATACCCTTGGAAAGGACATAATCACAGGCTCCTTGGAAATCAAAGTCATGCTGATCAAATGTAGTGAAATGCGAATCACCCCATACCGAACATGTGGATTCACAGCCATTCGATGAACACTTCCAATTACCAGCTTGACACACACTAAACAACGAGAAAAACACAAACAGCAACAACAGAATGGTTAGCAAAGAAAATGCTGGAAAAAGTGCGGCACGTTTTATATTGAATTTCTCTGGATTTAGAGCGACGAGCAACGAACGCAATTGCAACGGAATGAAATGCGAAAATACTCACCATGTATTGCAATCTTCTTTCATTTGTTCGCCGTCACCATAACTTTTGCCACCATGATGACAAGAGCATTTTTCGGGTAAGACGCACATTTTCAAAGCGGTGTCATACACATAACCCTCCATGCACTGGCAGCCGGGCACGCATTCATCCAAATCGGGTTTGTATTCGTGCATGTTCTTGCAGGTCTTGGGTTCCTTGGCCACACATTTGGTGAATTCAGCATAGGGGCGGCTGGCACATTCGGCCCGCAACTCAGAGGAGGGGGGATATTTCTTTTCATCATCCGGTTCGGCCTCTTCACATTCCCACAGGCCATTCACACAAGTACACAAATCCATAAATTTGGAACCTGGACGCACCTCTTTGTAGCCGGGGCGGAAGGTCATGCCATCGTAGGCACAGTGACATTTACTTTGGGGCACACATTCATTTTCATCGTTGAGATATTCGCCGTGGGGACAGCGACAACCCTCCACACATTCCTTGGTACAGGTATCTTTCGTTTCCAAATCTTCGCAGGTTAGAGCGCAGCTGTCGCCACATTCTTCGTAGATTTGTCCCAAAGGACATTTGACGGCACACTCCTTGACAGTCATTCTCCAGCCGGTCTTAATACCTTGACGCATGCATTCGGCACCATAGGCCGATAAGATGGGGCAGAAGCATTTGGCAGGATCCTCTTTGCAAGCACATACATCATACAAGCAGTCTTCATAATACTTTTCAGTATCCACGGTCCAATGGCAATCCTGGAAGATATCATCCATAATCCAGGCACAATATTTCTCAGCCTCTTCACGCTTATTAGGATGGGCCGTACAGGGATGGGGACTGATGGCAGTATCACCCAAATAATCGCAAGTATCCTTGGTACGCCATTTATCGGCAAATGCCTCAACGGCCGTTTCAATATCACCCTCCGGTGTTAGGAAATCATCCTGGGTATTCGAGTTGAAGGTACCACAAAGACCAGCTGTCTTATCTCTATACGTGGGTGGGGCATCAATGTAAACCCTGGAAACACCATCCCACCATATGCGTATGCCATCGGGGAATTCCACAGTCATAAACGACGAACTGACTTTACGTATCAACATCTCTCGGTCGCCCAAAACTTTGGGATATTTCATTTGTTCTTTGCCATTGACCGTGGCCACCAAACCCTGATCCAATTTGATGGTCGTGGGAACACCATTCTTCAGCACATAACGTACCGTAACCGATTTCGTGCACGAAGGATTTTCGGCAGCAGCAAAATTCAAATTTTCCGAAATGGCGCCCGAACAGGCAACATTCTCAGCCTCTACCGAAAGATTCATTGTTTTCAACAAATAATACGAACATTTACCCATGAAATCGAAACGTTTGCCATCGAAAGTCTGATAATGAGGATCACCAATGGCACCACAACGAGCTCCACACAATTTATCCGTACATTCCCACTGGCCGCTCTTGCAGGTGCAGGTGTTACATTGTTTCTTAATGGTGGTATCGGGTTTAAATTCACGATCACGCATATTGCAGGGACACAATTCGGGTGTGATACAAGCATCCTTGTACTGTACTGTGCCCTCGGGACAGAAGCAACCTTCATTACATTTACCCTTGGTTGGGGTAACAGCCGATTCACAAGTGGGCTCGACATCCGGACCACAAGGAAGGTAGACACGACCGAAAGCGCAACTGATAGCTGTAAGATGGTTAAGAGAAAAGGGTAAAGTCTCTATAATGGTTCCTACTATGTGAGATCTTATAAACATGAAACGATCTTATACATTGTCTATTCAAACCAATTTGGTTTTTTAATTCAAACTATTTAAATATGTTTTTATATAAATACTAGCAATGAACCGCTACTTCATCAACGAAAAGTTCACCTTAATGTTTAAGATTCCATGAAATGATTCGTGTACGGTCTTTTTAGCACTCAAAACGCAAACTCTTAGGTTTTTTCCTTTTCGGAAAAAATAATAGGAAAATGTTTAAATTTTTTTTAAAAAGTCTTCAATTATGCAAAACTAACACTAGATCTATCAACAGAGATTTCAATATACAATTTGAGGATTTCAGCACTATACATTCACCCAATACCAACTTTAACAAGTAAGCAAAGGCTATAGTAGTGCGGGGCCGACCATGTGATACCCTACAACACTACAATATGTGAGAAGCCCCCTCATGTCCAAATCCATTATGGAAGATTTCGCTTTTGAAATTATGTCACGGAGCACTGCCCACATATTACCCTTATCATTTTGACCAGGGATATTTTCCCAATATTTATGCACTCCGTCGTGCTGTTAGTTTTTGTAGTCCATTTTACGGCTAAATAAAATCCAAAGGTCATCCAAAATGCCAAAATTCTTCCCTGTGCTTAAATATCTTCTCAGGCGTGTCGATTGGCTTCAATTGTGTGATCATGATTTTTTTTTCTGTTTTTGGTTCATTTGAACCCCCTAATATTTTACGATCATCTCCAAAAGCAACAGGCCCCTCTGTGTTTCCAAATTTAGACTCATCTATATGATTTGTTGTCTACGATATTTGGTTATATTCGTCAACGAAATCAGCATAAAAAAGGCAGAAGTTCGCCTATTGTGTATTTCGGATATCGCCTGTAAGTAATGTTGGTATCTTTCACACAAAAGTAATGGTCCATTCTAGCCGCTGTCTTAAATTCTAATTTCATGCTAGCTTTCGTGTCCTTTGGTTTCTATTTGTAACCTTTATAACGGATGAAAAATCAGGAACATTTTGAGTTGCTGGTCCATTTCAAACCCTAAATATATTGCGGACATCTTTGAAAACAATAGACTTAGCCCTTCTGAGCCTAACCCTACCTTTGTCAAAAATTTCGTGAGGATCGAACGATAATTGCAATCTGTATATAAATAATAACCCCAACCTGTGTTGTAAAGTGCAAAAATATTACAAAATATACACTTCAATATTATAACTCAAATTGAAAAATACCATGCGATAAAAAATATGAAAAAATAAAAAAATGCCACAAGATACTACAAAATCTATATTAACATCATTATCGGCATCTTTTTATGCGATTTTTTTTAGATTTTATACTTTTATGCCAAAAGGGCATTCTAAATTTGTGAAAATTGCTCCAGCCATTCTGGAGATATAAGCATTCTAGCTAACATCCCCTTACTTTGTATATATACATTGTATATATTTCTCTATATATATCCAATATTTTTACTATCGGCATCTACGTAACGGTCAGAATTGGCCTATTCGTCTATTTGTGATTTCGCCGCATTAAAAATATTCGCGGTTTAATAAAAAATTTGACTTTTATTTATCACAAATGCTATGGCCTATTTCAACCACTAAATATTACCCGATGACCATCAAAGGAAGGCTTCTGCCCATCCCAAAGCTCTAGCCCCATGCTCACATTCGCTTCGATTGGTCTATAATTGTGACCTGTAGAGGAACTGCAAAATCAGGAAATTTTTCAGTTTTTGGTCCATATCAACCCCTAAATGTTATGCCATCATCTCCAAAAGAAAAAGGTTCTATTTTGACCTTAACCCCACCTACATTTTAAATTTCGTGAAGATCGGGCCATAATTGCGACCTGTAGAGTGATTACAAATTAACATGGACAGACGGACAGACGGACGGACGGACATACATAGCTAGATCGACTCAGCTTGGCGAGATCCATATATACTTTCCTATGTGGGAAATCAATATTTCGTGGTGTTACATAATTTTTGGCCCAATCAAACTTATAATACCCCCAACCCAAAGTGTTGTAGGTTATAAAAACACTTATTACTTTACGTATTATTTTTGAACACATTTCCAAAACCACCTCCATATCTCAATTCCAGATACGAAGAGAGACCTCAATATCACATTTGACGATTACAGCCATACCCTTTCACTCAATAAAAAAATTGTGTTCCAATTTAGTACTCTTTGGAAAAATATAGAACGCATTTCCAAACCACCGCGAAACCTCAAACACAGATACTTGCAGTAATCTTGATGTCAAATTTCCGAATCTTCTCCTTATCCTTTCACCTAATATCAGATTGTATGAAATATAAGACTATCTCGTACTTTTCGTACTTGTAGTACACATTTTCAAACCACCTCCATATCTCAATTCCAGATACCAACAAAGACGTCAATATCTCATTTGAGCATTCTAGCCCTGTCCGTTCACCCAATACCAAATTTAGTACCATTTAGTACTTTTCTTTTCCAAACCACCGCCAAAACTCAAATACAGATAGCATCAGTAATCTTAATATCAAATCTCAGAATTTTATTTCTGTCCCTTCGCCCAATATGGTATTATATACTTTCCGTACAATTAAAATACCAATTTCCGAAACCACATCCATATGTCCAGGCTACACATGAACAGCGATCCTAACAAAAATGTCAACCTGCATGCACCATATGTTCACTCAATACCAAATTCTAGCAAATATTGTATTATTTTGTACTTTTCGTGCACTTGTAATACACATTTCCAAAACCTCCTCTTTATCACAGACCACAGACCAATACAAAATTAAAAAATTCAAGCTTCATCCGTTCACCCAAAAACCAAACGATTCTAAATTTAGTACCACTTATTGCAGTTCACACGACCAAACTTCAAATTTATTGCTCTTTATGTTGACATAATAACAAATGGTACCATCTGAGAACTTTTCGCAGCCTTAAAGTCCGAATTTCCAAAAAAACCTTTGGTACATGTATCCTTCATTTAATCCTCTATCAGTGACCCTCATTCCGAATTTCAAAATTCAAGCTCATTACGTTTGTCCAATACAAAGTATTTAATTTTTAGTGCATTTTAGTACTTTTCGTACACTTTCCCACGCCAACGCACCAAGACTGATCCTGGTGCAAAATTTCAAGATTCAAGCTACGGGCTTTCCATCAGGGTGTTGATTGTCGATCAGTCAAACAAAAAGTCAGTCTGTTCCTTACTACTCCACAAATAAAAAGCGACATCTACATGTCATGAAACAAAATGAATGTTGTCTTTTCTATACCCTCTTAATATACCCATTGAGGGTATTTATCATTCCGTTTGTAGCTTCTTAAAATATGCATTTTATGGGGTCAAAATGTATATTCCCGATCTGTGTCAATTCCATGTCATGTCCGTCCGTTTGTATCTCTGCCCCAGTGAAGTACGATCTGAAGTAGGTGAGCAAAATTTTAGATCCGTAGAATTTTTGGTATTGAACATGGAATATTGTTTTTGTCCATATAACGGTACAACTCGTATTTCGGTATTGTTGGGGTTTTAGTCACATTTAAATCCGAACTGGATGTTAAGCGGAATTTTGTGTTCCTAGCTTACAAAAACAAAATTTGGCAATAAACTTATCGTATGGGTCCAAATTATGTATAACGCTACCTCCCTTCCCTTCTTTGGCAGGTAATTGTCCGCGCAAATTTTTCGTTCTTATATAACCCCTATATAAGGGCACCCCCGATAATCGCTATTTGGATTTTTTCACGGCAATTTTTTCAATGTTGGTATTAGCATTTCATCATAGGCCACAAGTTTTTTTTCCATCCTAGTCCATATATTCGCATAGCTCCCATAAGATACCCCACGCAATATTTGGTATTTGGATGATTTTTGGCTAATTTTTTAAAGAAATTTTCTCGCGGTTGGTATTTGAAGTACGCCATAATCCATAGGCATCCTGAATTTCAGTACTTAGACGATTTTAGCTACTTTTTCTACAAACAATTCTAGTATTTGAAGTTCGTATTGGATACCTGCCCTGTGGTAGAAAATTATCTATATGGTCCTAGAATTTATGATTTGACTTTATAACTCTCAAATATTGACCCTGAACCCTGAAAATTCCTCCCTTCAGATAACTCCCTTTTTACAAAATTTTTCTTTGAAAAATAACAATGGTGCTTACGACAAATTTCCAGATTCCTCCAACCATGTTCCATTTTGATACCCTTGAAAGTACATTCTTTGGCCAGCATGGACAAGGCATCACAGTTACATGTTTCAGGATGCGCTTGATTCGGGCAATTGCAGTAGTCATCAACACACGTCCTCATCAGCGCCTCAAAATTGAAAGCCTTTATACATTCACCCAATTTTTCGTTAGTCAACAAACGTTCGCAAACTTCGATGGCCTTCTTGCGTTTACTGGGATCACAATTTTTCGAATCAAATTCCACTTCGGCACTATTTTCCATGGTACACAATTCCGAGTTGTCTTCGACACGCCATGAATCGGTAAATGATTTTACAGTGGCCACAATTTTGCCCGTCTTGGTCATTAGATCATTCTTATAGTCACCATCCAGAGAACCACACAAACCACCGACACGACCCCACAAGGCAGGGCTGGCATGGACACCCACATATTGATGACGATCCCAATCGATTTTCAAACCAATCGATTCCAAATCAATTTGTAAATGTTGAGCCACTGGTACAACTTTCATGCCCATAACTTGTACTGGTATGGGTAGACGTTTTGTGGGAGTTTCCAGGACCACGGTGCCATCTGCAAAAATCATAATTTGTTATAATATTATTTTCAAATTTTCTTTTTCCAAAACTTACTCAAATTCTTAAAGGTATACAAAATCGACTGCCAATATACAACGAGAATGTGTGAGCAGCCATATCCGGAGCCATAAGGACATCCCTTGAGCGTAATGTCAAAGGTGGCATCCTGCTTGTCATTAATAAGCGTATGTGAGCAGGATAATGGGGCCCTATGAAATTGTTTTTTGAAAAAAAAATTGTTAGAAGTTTTCTAAATTTAGTTTCACGTTTTTTGACTTACTTGAACACCAAACCATCAAATGTCTTCATGTTAATGCCACCCCAGGTTGTACAGAATGCTGCCTTGGGTGTACGATCTATCATGACATTGATATCACCGCTTTCATAAAGGGAGTAACTGCTTGGAATAACATTGGCCTCTTCTGAAGACCACCATTCCTGGAAAAAATAAAAATTTTATGAATAGGTATTGGGATTATGGTGTATAAACCAAAATAGGGTCAAGGGAATAAATTATGGCTGTGTTAGTCTTCTTTTAGAATTCTAACCGAATACCAATTTTCCTATTGAAGAACGTCTCGTTGTTTGTCTCCAGTCAAATTCTGATTAATATGAAGTTTTATGTGATGTCTAATAGCTTCTTAATGGGAGAGCAAACATTCTCTCAAGACCTTTCAGAACAATTATTTTTGTTAGCAACAGTTTTTAACCGATTATCCGAGCTATATTACGGAGACGTTAGAAATATTTTTAAAATTAAATAAATAATATTTATACATTTTTTTAGAAATTATCGCAGATTTTAGAATATCTTTGTATACTTTGTGTCTCTTCGAAATAATGGTTCAGAACATAGGTCCCATTTGACCAAATACCATATGGCTACAAAGGGTATATATCGTTTAATACGGATAAAAGTTACTCATTAATATAACACTTTTAGACTCTGTGTCTCATTGGACCAAATCAGTTTTAGGACATTTGGAGTCGACCTAGGGATGTCCGTCCGTCTGTCTAGTTGCCTGGTAAGCACGATAACTCTCGCAGGGAGTATTCGATTTGGTCCCAACTTGCTACATCGTAATATTATTATCAAAATTTAGATTGAATTCGGATATGGGCAAAATCGGTCCACTCCACATTTTCAAAGAAAATAGTTTACCTAATACAAAGGGAAAATATCATTCCATTTTGTGCAAACTTTGCAAATTCCAATATTTTTGTCAACGCTATGTCAGGTGAGAATTGAACAAACAAGTACCTCCCCCACAAAGGGTCAAAATATGGAATAATAAAAAACTCTCATACAACGCAAAATAAGAATTCGGCTGTCTTTTAATTTCAGACATCCCAATAATTTTGTTAATACAAGACCTGGTGTGATGATGGGATATGTCGGTTCACTCCTTTTTGTACCTCCCCCACAATGGGTCAAAATTTTGAATAGTCGTAAAGTTTATAAAATTCGAATTAAGCACCAGATTCATTTGATATTTCACATATCCCAATATTTTTACTATAACGATATCTGATATGAAGATGGAATATATAGGACCACTCCTTATGGTACCTCCCCCACAAAGAGTTCAACATTTTGAATAATTATATCTCTCATAAGAAGCGAAAAAAGCATTCGATTGTCTTAAATTTTCACACTTTCCAATATTTTCACTAACGCAAAATCTGGTGCGAAGATGGAATAAATCGGTTCATTCTTCTGGTACCTCCTCCGTATAGGTGTACAAATTTTGAATAACAAATTTCCACAGATCTCAATATATTTATGGCTTCGTCCTACCCCTTCTGGTACCTTTTCAGCATTTATAGCTCTCATAACTTGCAAAACAAATTGTCGATGCCTTTCTAGCCAAATACCTCTTTCACCATAGATGTCCTTCCCACTCCCTTAACATTTTGTTTATAATTTATTTAAATTGGGCACGTAGTAATATTTGTATTAGACTTAGGTCAATATGGACAATATTGCCATCTCTGTCACCACTTAGATACCTCCCTCATAAATGGTCAACAGTTTGAACACTCATAACGCATGGCTGAGGGTATACATATGCAGGCAAACCGGGCTTGTTTAAAAAAATTCGAATTAAAGAAAGAATTTGAAAGTTTCAAAAAAATTCCGTCGAAAGTACAGCTCAAATGAAAACCTTTATATAGGGTCTATACCAAGACGTGGTGCTGGTTAAGTAATTTTTTGTCATAGGCTGTAGTAACGATTCCGAACTTCAAATACTAAATTCGAAACAATTCATGTGAATAATGTCACTAATATCATCAAAATTCCGAATAAAGAGAGGTACCGTTGTATGGGGGCTATACTAACATGTAGAACTGCATAGACAATTTTCCGTCATAGGTTGTAGTAACCATTACGAACTTCAAATACGAATTTTGACGCAATTCCGGCGAATAATGTCGGGAACATCCTGGACATACCGAATATCTGTGGTAGCGGTATACGGGTGCTATACTAAAACGTAGACCTATGTAGACAATTTTTTTCCAGGGGGTAAAGTACTCATAAAGAACTCCTTGTGTAGAATTTCAAACAATTCCATTAAAAAATGTAGCTAAAATCATCAAAATACCGAATATCGGGGGCACTATTGCAAAGGGGCTATACGACATCGTGGACCTATATAGGCAATTCTCTTCGAGGTGTTAAAGTAATCACAGAGAACTCCTTGTGTAGAATTTTAGACAATTCCATTGAAAATTTTAACTAAAATCATTAAAATACCGAATATGGGGAGGTAGAATTATAAGGGGGATATACGACATCGTGGACCTATATGGACAATTCTCTTCCAGGGGATAATGTACTCATAAAGAACTCCTTGTGTAGAATTTCAGACAATTCCGTTGAAAAATGTGGCTAAAATCATCAATTACCAAAAATCGGGAGGTTAAATTATGTGGGGGATTTACGATATAGTGGACTTATATAGACAAGTCTCTTTCAGGAGTTAAAGTAGTCACAAAGAACTTCTTGTGTAGAATTTCAGACAATTTCATTGAAAATGTGGCTAAAATCATCAAATACGGAATATCGGGATATAGTGGACCGACAGACAGGTCGGTACAAAATTGTATCTTCCTATATTTGTTCGTTTTGACTCTAGCGTGATTACAACAGACGGACGGACAATTCTAATTCGTCTTAGAATTTTACGCTGATCAAAAACATATATACTTTGTTGGGTCTAAAATTATTATTTCGATGAGTTACAAACGGAATGACGAACTTAATATACCCTCTTTACTATGTATGGTGGAGGGTATAAAAATGTTTTTGAGGAAGTTTGAAGGATTTTTTTTTTTGCATTTTTTAAAAATATTTTTTAAAGTAGGCTAGGATTTCCTTAAACTTCATCGGGACCTTTGGATCAATTTTCATAGGTTTTAAAATATTTTTATGCGGCGCGATTTAAAATTTAAACATCCAATTCCTTGCCCCATACTCACACTTCTTGTATCATATTCCTTATATTTGGCAACAATTGCCAAAATCTTTTCCCTTTCAGTCATATATTGATATCCGTAGCTGCCGCCAGCGCTGCTGCCAGCTCCATTATACGACTGTTGTTGCGTATAATGCGAAGACTTGGAACCGGCATGAATAGTATATCCCGATGCTGTAAAATAATTTGATTATTAATAAAGAACAGCTTCATAATCGCCCATCAAAAACTACTTACGGTATACACACTTGGGCAGGGGCGTAGGATAGAATTTGCCCACATCATATTTACATTTATATTCGACATTCAAACTACCACCCTCGACTTTGAGCCCAGGTACTTCGGGACACATAAACGTACACTTGGCCAACTCATTGTCATAAGAACATTTGTAGTTTCCATTGAAATTGGTTTTGGTTACATTGCAGGAACTGATGCTAAACTGGCAATGGTCACCGCGATAGTTCTTGGCACACTGGCAGACATTGAAGGAAATGCAACGGCCACCATTCGAGCAGGGAGGATCACAAATAGCTATGATGGGAGGAAACAGAGATTTTAGGACTCATTTGGAGATTCATATCTGTTTCTCATAAAACTTACGTCCACAATCTGGTGGTTTGGTCAAACCCGTCTTCTTGTGAATCCACTGATCATTGATGCATTCAATATTGGTAATGGAACTGCCGTCGGGAAATTGGAAACCGCGGAAACACTCAGCATTGCAAATACTACAAAATTTAACAATTAAACATGAAGTTCCTCAAAGAGAATAAAAAGTCTTACCCATTCATGCAGCTAACTTTGGAGTTCTTTGGCACTGGGACCTTAGCAGCACACACCGATTTCTTGTGCTGGCACAATGGACCCGAAAAATTCTCCGGACACTTGCAAATGCCCGCCTCAATGCAGATGCCATTGTTTAGACATGGTGGATTGCATGTTGCCTGACACGGCGGTACCTCAACATATTCCGAATCACGAATAATCCACGAATCGCCAATGCACACCATTTTCAAATTAGTTTTGCCATTGGGGAAACTATAGTATGGTGGACATGATATTTCACACTGATCGTTGCGACATTTATGCACCACGTTCGGGGGCAATGGCGAGGCCGAGCATCTACCATATTTCGGCAATTGGAGTATACGTTCAGCATTGAGGAAAGCTCCGGTATTTACATGGCTATAAAATAACATTGACAATCAGTATAAATATGTTTTTAAAAAATTTTAGCTTTGAGAAAATTTTTTTTTTTTAACAATACACATGGCCAATTCGTGTGGTTTGGAAATAGAAATTTGGAATTTGGAAAACAACTTGTTTTAAATTTGGCTATTTTGTAATTCAGTATTTTTTTGTAATCCGTTTTTTATTTATTTTTCAACCGCTTTTGTGACTATTATGGGAAGTTATATATATATATATATATATATATATATATATATATATATATATATATATATATATATATATATATATATATATATATATATATATATATATATATATATATTATAGATATAATTGTAGATAGAAAATATTTTTCACGGACTGTCAGTAGCCGCAGGCTTTTTTAAGAATATTTTCACATACGTGTTTAATAAATAACTGTGGAACCTTGATTTAAAAGAGGAATAGATCCGTAACTATTTTATAAATAATATATTTCGATTGGTTTAAGAGTGCGTGGGGCTTTCGTGTATTTTTTTTTTTTTTTTTGTTTTTTTTTAAGGGATTGGATTGTGAATTTTTAGACATATTTTTGTTGTTTTATTTAAATATATATTGTTTAAGGTATTTTATCGTAGATTTTTAAGAATATTTCACAAAAGTTTCTTATGAAAATTTGAGGATCTTTGGACGTAGATTTTTAAGAATGTTATTTAAGGGGTATCTGTTACAAATTAATTAACCTTTCAGTATATTACTTAAGCGAATATTTTCCAAAAATGTCAAAGTTATTTTCATCGACAGGAGGGCTGTCAAAGTCATAATCGTGGATACTTATCAGTAATTACAAGGCCATGTGTATTTTATTTAAATATCTTTCAGGGGCAGTCAAAGCTGCAAATCTCGTTTAATATACTTTTTTAAAATATTAAATATTTTTGTGTTGGATAATATTCAGAATATTAGAAAAAAAATCAAATTTATCATGTAGAGCTTGTGCTTAAATGAGAAACATAGGCCAGTAGCGAAAAATGATAAAATCAGCCATCCCCCTCAAAAGGAGGTGAAACAATTCACTCCTTTAGAAGTACCAAATAGAAGAGAAGGAGTGTACCAAACTTGTTTAGTTCGTATCTGACATAAGTTTGATAAAAGTATCTATAAATTGGGATGTAAAATGATTTAAAAGAAAATCGATCATTTATTTCCAGGTTAATCAAGATTTTAGCCTTTTGTGGGTGAGTAACCCAACGGCGAGGACCGATAAATTATGCATTCACATCAGATCTCTGATTGAGAGAAATTTTTAGATATGCCAAGTTTGAAAAGATTCGTTGAATTATTTCGCAAGTTATGAGTTATATAAATATTTAAAATTGTGAGCCTTTGTGGGGGAGGTACTTGAAAGAGTACGCCGATACATCCCATCTTTACACAAGATAAATATTGTGATGTGTGAAATTTAAGGAGAATCAGATGCCTTTTCACATTTTATGAATTATAATTATTCTAAAAAATTGACCCTCTGTGAGGAAATACAGAATGGGGGGTCCGATGTATTCCATCTTCACACCTGATCTTGTGTTGATTGAAAAAGTGGGATGTGTCGAATTTGAAAGTAATCGGATTCTCATTTTGTGATTAATAAATTTAAGGGCTGATCAAAATTGTTACCCGTTGCGGGGGAAATAACAGAATGATAGAACGGAGTCTATCTCTTCTTCAGAATCAGATCTTGTATTCAAAGAAATATTGGGATGTGACAAATTTGAAGACATTAATAGAAATGTTGATCCTTTTTTTTGGAGGTTGTACTAGATGGAGTAGATCTTATTGTCCATTTCCGCACCTGACCACTGTACCACTGATACAAATATTAAGATTTGGAATGTTTGCACAAAACTGGACTATCCTTTGTTGTTCTGTAAGGTAAATTATTTTCTGTGAATTTAGAACTTTTGTGAGGGAGGTACCAGAGGAGTTGATCGATAATACCTATCTCCGAACTCAAACTTAGTTTGACAATAATATTACGATGTAAAAAATTTAGTCCAAATCAGATACCCCTTCCACAGTTATTGAGCACACCAGACAGACAGATGAAAGGAACTTCCTAGATCGACCCCAAATGTCCTGAAACGGATTAGATCCAGATATACCAATTGTCTAAAACCGAGATTTTAATGAGGCAAGTTTGGCCGTATCAAAAGATATATTCATGTAGCCAAATAACTAAGGACATAGCAAGTAAAATAGCTGCTAAGTTCGGTCAGGACGAACTTTTAGTTCTCTGCACCATTTGGAAAGATGTATAAAAATTCCGTTGACAAAATGCCTCTAAAATTATCTTGCGTCGCAGTTATATGGGAGATTTAAGAAAGCGTGGACTTTTATTGTCAATCATCTGCCAGAAAAGCCCTATTGCGAACCCCAAATTCAATTTTGGAAAATAACGTAGGGAATGTGTCGGAAAAATACCATATATCGGATGGTACTGTTATGTGGGGGATGTACGAAGATGTGGACCTTTAAAGGTCCAAATACGTACCAAATTTGAAACAATCCCGTCGAAAAATGTAACATCGAAATACCGAATATTGTTACGTACAATTATATGGGGACTATAAGAAAATGTTGGCCTATATAGATAATTTTCTTTCAGAGAAAATTGTACCTATTGTCAGCACTTAACACCAACCTTAAAGTAATAATAAAATCTCAAATATAGGAGGCCGTGGACCTATATTGGACATTTTCTGTCATAGAAAGTATTGCAAGTAATACGGGAGGTACAATAATATGAGGGCTATACGAAAACATAGGCCTGTTTAAGCAATTTTCTGTCATAGAAGGTACTACTTATTACGAAGTCCAAATGCCAAATTTGAAATAATTTTCGTAAAAAGTTTGACACAATTCATGTGTGAACTATACATATAATATTAGAATCAAAAAGACATATCTCTGCAAGGTAGTTTCCTACACACTGGGTAAACAAAATGCGAATTTACAGCAAATTTGGGTTAAAATTATGACTAAAACGAGCCAAACACCATAAATCTGCCGGTATATGGGAGATATGGGAGCATACCAAAACGTGGACCTTTATAACTCTATTTCATTGCCAAAATTTTTTCAGACCTAAAATACTTCTAGGTAAAATTTTATAAACTTTTATAAATTTTATAAACCATTTCGATTGGAATCTAAAGTGATTTTCACAGGCGGACAGACAGATGGAAGTTGCTAAATCGACATAGAATTTTATGCTGATCATGAATATATCTACTCTTTAGAGTTTAAAATGGACATTTCCAAGTGTTACAAACTTAAGGTATGAGTTTGTGCGCAAGGTATAAGAAATATAAATATATTATTGCGGAGGTACCTGAAAGAGTGGACCTTTATACCCCATCTTCACACCAGATAGCATATTAGTAGAAATATTGGAATGCGCGAATCACATGCTCATTTCGCATTTTAGGAGCATTCTGATTATTAAAAAAATTTACATGGTGGTGAAGGTTATCTTCTCCTCCCTACGCGAGTTTTTTTTTGCGAATTTTGAAACAATACACCTGAATTACAAAATCACCCGAATTGATAAAAATATCTTCAACTTTCATTTACCCATGTTGATACATGTTGCTTGGATTGCTTCCATGTGTGTAATGCCCGTAATTGTAGCGTTGCTGACTACTGCCATAATGAGGATTATAACCATGTTGGTGACTAAATATATTTAATGTAATTAGATATTTTTTTAGGAAATATGTGTGTAAAAAAGCATATTAAGTACATATTTTTTAATGCAGGACATTTTAATAAAGCGACATTTTTATTTTAATAGCAATAACTTACGTTTTAAACCCGTAACCAGTATTGCCTCCATATCCGGTATTACTTCCATAACTGGAGCTACTACTATAGCCAGTTTTACCACTACTGCCGCCACCAAGGCTCAATGAAAGTTCTGGTAAGAGTCCACTGATGCCATAACTGCCACCGACACCACCACCACTGCCACCAGTGCTACCACCATATGAACTGCTGTAAGAAGTCTTATAGCCGTAGCCCCTATAACATAAATCAAAGTGTTTAAATATCCATCCATTCAGGTTTGCTGTTGTTGCCATATATGGGGACATATATAAACTAAATCTACAATAACACTTACGTGTTGACAGGGGGTGATGCTGCTGCAGGTTTTTCCTTTTTGAACATATCAAATATACCACGTTCATCGCGTTCCTTATCATGGGCTTCTTCCAAAACTCCAAGAGGACTGAAAATTAACAATAAAAAAGCGAATTAGTTAATTTCTTAAAATTGATGAAGACACAAATGTTGTCGGTATTCTTCAAATATAACAAATTTTTATTTTAAATGTCCCCATTGGAAGGGAATTTAACAGAAACACTATTTTTCAATTTCAGAATTGGAAAAATACCTACAAATTTTATTAAATTTTTAAAAATTTAAGATTTTACCAATTAGGAGAGAGGAACAGAGTATTTATGTAAAAATTTATATAATTTCACGTCTTATGCGAGTTGTAATAATAAAAAAAATTATACTTGTATGTGACTTTCGTAAAGAGTACAAATTTCCACATTTATCACCAGTTAGAACTTTTTGTACACGTTATAGTACGCCCAGCGAAATTCAAAGCCATATCTAAACGCTATACACTCACAGTGATAATAATGCCATTGAACCTAATACCAAAGCACTATTCCTATATTCCTACTGAATTTGGTACTGTTCGTAAACTATATATCAACTGTTCTTTGTCTAATCATCATACCAAACTCTTAGATTCAGCTCTATTCCATTACTAAAAATTTAATACCATTTAGTAATTTTCGTACAAGTTATAGTACAGATGCCCGAATTTGTCTCTTTATCAAAACGCTAAAAATGGACTGTGATCTTAATACCAAAATACACAACTGTAGCTCTTTTTCTATATTTTGTACCAAATTTTGAGGTTTTCTTTCACGTTATGGTACACATGATCAAATTCGTCTCCCCATCTAAAGACTACACACTCACAGTAATTTTACACAAAGTAATTTTCCCAGCTGTATTTTTGTACTCCCTTCCGAATTTATACTTTTCATTAACTCTATAGAATACATATCCTAAAACTGTTCAATGGGATCCGAATGGCAAAATTCATAAGTTCAGATATACGCCTACACTCATATGAAATTACGGTATTAAAGGTTTCCAAATTCGTATCCCCATCTAAATACTATACACTCAAAGTATTTCCTATAACGATATTCACAATTCTTGCTCTTTTCCTTTCTATACCAAATTTAGTACCAATTAGTACTTTTCGTACACGTTATAAAATGAACTTGTAAATCGCCTCACATTTGGTACAACAATTCATAATTCAAATTATATTCCTACACTATTAGCCAAATTTAGTACCATTGAGTACGTTTACTACACTTATTGTACGTATCTCCAGAATATTCTTATTCTATACGAACTTGCAGCATTTCACATTTATATATTCGCGCAAAATCATATTTTACCAAATTTAGTACTATTTAGTATAGTTCTTGCACTTAGTTAACATTTCTAAAACTACCTAATTATTTCAACCCTACTTCTTAAACTTTATTTGTACAAAATTAAGTACTTTTAGTACACTTGTAGTTCGAATAAAAAAAACAAGTAAAAAGCTGTAATTTCGGCTGGGGCGATCTTTGAATACCCTCCACCATTTGGCAAGCATTTGGCAACTTTCAAAAAAATTAAATCTGTTAAAAATTCTGTTAAAATCTAAAAAAAAAACGGAATGTAGCTTTTATTTTAGGGTCTATACGACGACGTGGACTTGCATAGGCAACTTTTGTCATAAGCCAATAGAACATTAAAATGCGAAACTTGAAAAAAAAATCGGTGAATAATGTAGCTAAAATCATAAAATTTCCAAATATATGGACATGAACCTGCACAGACAATTTTCTGTCTTAGGATGTAATATTTATTACGAACTTCAAATACCAAATTTGAAACAATTCCGGAAAATAACGTCGCTTAAATCACCAAAATACCAGAAAAAAGGATGGTACCATTAAATGGAAGGTACCAAAACGTGGACCTACATGATCCATTTTCTATACCAAAAGTCCTGCAGCCATAATATACATTTGAGTAAAATTTTATTAACTTCGGTATATATATCGAGGTGTTACAAACCGAATGACAAACTTAATATACACTCCATAATATGCTGGGAGGTATAAAAAATTAAAGTTTTATACTGACAGGTCGGCGCTTAATATATATTCAGATAGAGAACAAAACCGGAGGTTTCTAAGGGCTTCTAAAGTTCCAATTCACAAAATGTACAAGATGTCTAAAATATTGTATCCTAGGATGAACAACCCCAGTACAGAAAGTCGAAAAGTCAGGAGAGCCGACTTTATGATATCCTACACCCCTTTGTAAGCTATTAGAGCTTCATATAACAATACATATAACAACCCAGTAAAGAAAGTCTTAAAATCGGCAGGGGCCGACTTTATGATACCTTACACCACTTTGCTAATTTAGTAGAGCTGCGCATAACAATTAAAAGTTTTTATGGGAGAATTCAATCATACTCGCTATGATTATAATTATAATTTAAAGTTCAAAGAACTAAATATGCCGAAGCATTTGCATCTTTTAAATTCGGACTTGTATTGCCCATTTGGTGCACAATTAATTTGAAATCGGATAAAAATATATATGGGAGCTATATCCAAATCGGAACCGATCTCGATAAAATTTGGTAACGATATTTCTGAGCTGTATTTGATATATTTCCCTGAATATCGTGGGTATGCACTCGTTGGAGTGCATATTACGGCTGAGGGTAACAAATATGACAAATCGGATGAACAGTGTATATGGGAGCTTTAGCTATATCTAAACCGATCTTCACCAAATTTGTCATACTACCTTCTAGTCTCAATTCGGTCGTATGTGCCAAATTTCATCCAATTTGGGCAAATATTAGACGTTTGGTGCACAATAAAAGGTACATCGGACGAAGTTATATATGGGAGCTATATCCAAATCTGAACCGATCTCGATAAAATTTAGCAAATGTATTTCTGAGCTGAATTTGGTAAATTTCCCCAAATATTGTTGTTACAGGGTGCATATTACGGCTGCGGAGGACAAAAATTGCAAATCGGATGAACAATATATATGGAAGCTATAGCTATATCTGAACCGATTTCGATCAAATTTGTCATACTTATTTTCAGGTCCAATCTGATACGTGCAAAATTCCATACAATTCGGACTGATATTACTCGTTTGGTGCACAATAAAAGGCAAATCGGACGAAGATATATATGGGAGCTATATCTAAATTTTGACCGATTATCTCCAATTTCAATAGGGTTCGTCCTTGGGCCAAACAAATGATTTGTTCAAAATTTCATCTGGATAAGACAATAAATGCGAACTGTACTTTGTTTACAAAAATACATGGACAGACGGACGGACAGACATGCATAAATCGACTCAGAATGTGATTCTATGCATATCATCAAAAGGAAGTATGGGTCTATCTCGTTTCCTTTTGCCTGTTACAAACAAATGCACAAAGACATAATACCCTGACCACCTTGTGGTGTAGGGAATAAATACAACAAATTAGATGAAAATATATACAAATATAGCTATCTGAACCGATTTGATCCAAATTTGACATACTTGTTTCTAGGCTCAATTTTGTCGTAAGTGGTCAATTCCCTCCCACTTGGACTAATATTACACGTTTGGTGCACAATAAAAGGCATATTGGTCGAAGATATATGTGCGAGATTTATTCAAATCTAAATCGATCTCGATAAAATTTGGTAAATACATTTCTGTACTGCAGTTGATATATTTCCCCAAATATCGCTGTTACAGAGTGCATATTACGCCTCCGGAGGACAAAATTTTTCAAACCGGATAAACAATATATATGGGAGCTTTAGCTATATCTGAACCGATATGGAGCAAATTTAACATACTTATTTTCAGGCTTTATTTAATCGTGTATGCAAAACCATACATACAAGGCAAATCACATGAAGATATTTATGGGAGCTATATCTAAATCTTGACCGATTATCCAATCCAATTTCAATATGGTTCATCCTTGGGTCAAGCAAATGAATTGTGCAAAATTTTATCTGGATAGGGCAATAAATGCGACCTGTACTTTGTTTAAAAAATACATGGACAGACGGGCGGAAGTTCATCAATCGACTAAGAATGTGATTCTATGCAGATCATCAAAAAAAAGTATGGGTCTATCTCGTTTCCTTTTGTCTGTTACAAACAAATGCACAAAGACATAATGTGGACATAATTATGTGGTGTAGAGTATTAGAATGGATATATCATTTATCATATAGAAACAAGTAAAAAAACATTAAGTTCGGCCGGGCCAAACTTTTAATACCCTCCACCTTAGGGTAAAAGAAACATTAGAAGAAATGTGGCAAAAACCATTAAAATGCCGAATATCGGGAAGTACCTATAATTACAATGTTTCGCTACACAAACTAGGACCCATTATGACCCACAAATACCAATTTTTAGACAAATCAGTGAAAAAATGTGGCAAAAACCATCAAAATACCGAATATCGGGATGTACCGTTATATGGGGGCTATATCAAATCATGGACCCATGCATGCAATGTTTCGCCACCGAAGCTGGAACCCATTATGACCAACAAATACCAATTTTCAGACAAATTCGTGAAAAAAGGTTGCAAAAATCATCAAATTACCTAACATCGGGAGGTACCGTTATATGGGGGCTATACCAAATCATGGACCCATACATGCAATGTTTCGCCACCGGAGCTGGAAACCATTATGACCCACAAATACCAATTTTTAGACAAATATGTGAAACAATGTGGCAAAAAAAAATAAAATACCGAATATCGGGAATATCGGGAGCTATACCACAACGTGGACCAATGCATGCAATGTTTTGCCACACGCTCAGGGACCCGTTATGACCTACAAATACCAATTTCCAAACAAATTCGTGAAAAAATGTGGCATAAATCATCCAAATACCGAATATCGGGAGGTACCGTTATATGGGGACTATACCAGAACGTGGACCGATATATCTCATTTTCAATACCAACCATCCTAGACACAATGCAAATAGCTCTGCTAAACTTTGGCGCTCTACGTCAAATAATGTGGGCTGTATCGTGATTTCAACAGACTTACAGACAGACAGACGGACATCGTT